TGTACAATAGAAGTCTTGAACCTAAAAAACAAAGATGACTATAACCAGAGTGGCTCCAGGGATTGGTTAGAAACTGTTCTTGAAACAACTTATTATATTATTACTTTAATCCTTGGTTAGTGGGTTACAGAAGATATCTGCCCCCAGTTTGAAGTGATGAGGATAAGTTTAGGTTGAAGAAGCAAGACAATACCCCAAATTTGATGAAAAGCACTAATCTAAGGTCCAAGAAACTCAACAAGTCCCAAATATGATACAAACACAAAGTGATCCACTCCTAGACATGCCATAATCAAACAGGTGAAAGCCACATGGAGAAAATCTTGAAAGCAGTAAGAAAAAAAAATCAAGTATCAGGAATCAATACTATGTTAATGGCTGATTTCTTATCAGAAGCAATGGAATAAATTATTGAAGTACTTAAAGACAAAGCTGTCATCCAGCAAAACTATCCTTCAAAAGGGAAGGTGGAATAAAGATATTCCTAGATTAACAAAAACTGGGAGAATTTGTTGTAGCAGACCTGACCTATAAGAAATACCAAACGAGGTTCTTTAGGCTGAAAGGAAATGATAGTACCTTGAATCCAAAGGAAGGAATAAAGAGTACAGGAAAGGTAATTATGTTAGTAACTATAATATATGCATGTGTTTTCTTTTTTCTTGTCTTAATTTCTTTAAAAATCATAAGATTATTTTAAAAAATAAATATAATATTGTACTGTTGGGTTGGGTTTATATAGATGTACTTAACATATGGCAAAAACAGCATGGGCGGTAGGGAGGAAAACAGAATTATACTGGAGCAAAGTTGCTACATTTTGCCAGACTTAAGTATTAACCCGACATAGATCAAGATAAATTTAAAAGATATATTGTAATCCCTAGAGAAACCATTAAGAAAATAACTGAAAAATATACAGCTAAAAAATCAACAGAGGAGTATACATTTTTAGTATACTAAAAATACTAAATATAATACTAAAAATGAAATACTAAAAATATTTAACACAAAAGAAGGCAACAAATGAGGAACAGAGGAACAAAAAGACATGAAATCTATTTAAAAAAAAAAAAAGGCAAAATAGCTGACACAAAGCCAACCATTTCAGTGACTACATTAAATGTAAATAGTCTAAACACACCGAAAGTCAGAAATTATCAGACTAAGAAAACAAGATCCAACAAGACACCTACAGATTGAAAGCAAAATATGAGAAAAAATACATTATGTAAATAGTAGCCACAAGAGCAGGGTTTAAAGCATGAAGATGTCATACTGATGTCACTTTTGGTTCTTTTCCCAAAAAGGCTTATATAGTGACTCAGTTTGGAAGCTTTTCAGCTTCCAGCCCTTGAATGTGAAGCATCACTGGCATGTTTGGCAGTAGTCTCTCATTCACTCCTCAATAAACAACATTGAAATACAAAAAAATAAATAAAATAAAAGAACAGTGTTTATGTTAATATCAGATAATGTAGACTTTTAGATAAGAAATATCATTAGAGAGAAAGAGGGACATTTCAAAATGATAACAGGGCCAATACATGAGGAAGATAGTAACAATTATAAATCTATATGCATAGTTTCAGAAACTGATAAAGAAGACAGACTGAAGAGACCAAACATAGGCATAACAGTATAAAGGTAAGAAAAATATCAGAATTAAATAAATATTTAAGAAAACTTTCATGAAATGAAAGAATATTTGAAACTATATGTGAATGGGTACCCTATGATTTAGGAAATTAATTCTAAAAGGATATATTCTAGGAAAGTTACTGGATTTCAAAAATAAATATTACTCTGTGCAGCTAGGAAAAATTATTGTGTCACATACAAGAAAGAAAAGTTACAATAGTATTCAGTAATAGAAGACTAAGAATTTCACTAGGCACTCACTCAAACTCTTTAAACTTTTTTTTTTTTTTTTTTTTTGAGACAGTCTCTCACTCTGTTGCCTGTGCTAGAGTGCCGTGGTATCAGCCTAGCTCACAGCAACCTCAAACTCCCGGGCTCAAGTGATCCTCCTGCCTTAGCCTCCCAAGTAGCTGGAACTACAGGCATGCGCCACCATGCCGGCCTAATTTTTTCTATATATTTTTAGTTGTCCAATGAATTTCTTTCTATTTTTAGTAGAAAAAGGGTCTCGCTCTTGCTCAGGCTGGTCTCAAACTCCTGAGCTACTACAGGCGTGAGCCACTGTGCTAGGCCTCTTTTTTTATTTTTTTTTTTTTTTGAGACAAAGGTCTTGCTGCATTCCCTGGCTAGAGTGCAGTGGTGTCATCATAGCTCACTGCAATCTCAAACTCCTGGGCTCAAGTGATCCTCCTGCCTCAGCCTCCTGAGTAGCTGGACTACAGGTGAGCACCACCATGCCCGGCTAATTGTATTTTTTGGTAGAGACAATACTTTGCTATGTTGTCCAGGCCAGTCTTAAATTCCTGGCTTCAAGTGATCCTTGTCCCTTGGCTTCCCAAAGTGCTGCGATTACAAGAGTGAGCCATAGCACCTAGCCTAAACTCTTTGAGTATACAGGCTGTGAACATGCTTTTGGGCAAAGAAAAATTTTAGAGATAAAAAAACTAAGCTTATTTTTGACATGAGCCCTAACTGAGGAAATTCAGAAAGTTAAAGTCAGCCAATTAAGAGATGACTAGAGAAATTATGGCAAAAAGATCAATACTGAATACTGACTGTATTTACTTGTGGTATCAAGGAGTCAAAGTATATTACTTAAAACTGATAAATCCAAACTACAGAAGCATACATATATTTATTACCACAAAAATAAACATTAAGATACAAACAATAACAATGGAATATATAAACCAGTATCTTACTAGTTAAGAAAAAAGGCAGAAAGGAAAAATTAAAAAAAATAAAAATACAGGCCAGGCATGGTGGCTCATGCCTGTAATGCTAGCACTTTGGGGAGGCTGAGGTGGAAGGACTGCTTGGGGTCAGGAGTTTGAGACCAGCCTGAGTAACAGCGAGACCCTGTCTCTATAAAAAATAGAAAAAATTATCTGTGTGTGGCGGCTTGTAGTTCCAGCTACTTCGGAAGCTGAGGCAGGAGGATTACTTGGTTCCACAAGTTTGAACTATGATCATGCCATTGCACTCTAGCTGGAGCAGCAGAGCAAGATCCTGTCTCAAAATAAATAAATACACACACACACACATACACACACACACACACACATTATATAATAGGAACTAAGGAAATTAAAAGTAATCATTAGGCAACACGTGGCTTAACCCTATGTAAATAAAATAGAAATGTTAGGTGAATACTGCTAAACTTTTAAGGAATAAATAATTCTCTTAAACTAACGCTAGTTACACTGTTCCCAAGAACTGAAAAAAGGGGAAAAATTCCAAATTCTTTTTGAAAGGAGTATAAACTGATATCAAAGCCCAACTAAATTATGCTAAAAAGGAAAACTATATTTAACCTCATTTATAAACATTAAAACAAAAAAGTCCTTAAGATAATTTGAAAATAGAATCTGGTAACATAGTAAGAGAACACTTTGTGATGATAGTTTATTCTAGGAAATCCAGTATAGTCCAATATTAGAAAATCTTATTACAATTAATCAAATTAGTAGTTTTAAAGAGAAAAATCATATAATCATCTCTACATACGCATAATGAAAATGCATATGACAAAATTCAACATCTTAATAAAAATAAAAGTAGAAATGAAGGATACTTCCTTAATATGATAAATGATAGATATCTCAGATGAAAAGCCAGTATCATGGTTGAATCAGAAAGCACTAGAGGGAACTAAAATAAGGAACATGACAAGGCGCCCTTCATTACCATTATCAATTAACATTTTACTAAAGCACTTGAACAAATGGAAAGCATATTATGTTTGTAGCTTCAAATCACACTAACCATCCTAATTTAAGGTGATCAAAATAAAATAACAATTGGGTTATTTATTTACTTTTTTATCATAAAAAAAAATCCTGTACTGGGAACACAGCTTAAGAAAAAAAGAGTTTTGACGAGGGATTGCTGTAACAGATATTAAATAACACTAAAAAGCCTCTGTAATAAAAACAGTATGGTAGAAGTGTATGAATAGATAGATATCCAACCAATAGAACAGAACAGAAAATCTAGGAAGAAAGTCAAATACATGTGGAATTTTAGTATAAGATGAAGGTATTCTCAAATCAGCAGAGAAGAGGTAAACTATTCAGTAAGGCATAACCGACCCTGAATAACCTAGGAATAGGAAAGCTTTAACTGTGGACAAAATCCAGAATATATAAAAGTTCAATTAATTTTACACTAGCAACAAAAAACTGCTGCATGATGGATGTTAAAAAATAGATGTAAACACATGTGACACAATGTGAAAGAAATTTGCAACTCATATTAAAAGGGCTAAAGTTTAATATATAAAGAGTTCTTAAGAATTCATATTAAAAAATACCAAGAAACTAATAGAAAGCAATAAGAAACTGTTTCTATGCCCCAGGACAGAAACAAACAGAAACAGCTTTATGAGGGCATGAGCCACAGCTTTTTCCTTGTATCCCCAGGCCTGGCATATAGTAGAGGCTCAATAAATGTCGGTTGAATGAATTTTTGAATGAATTTTATAACTGATGGCTTTTATTATATATTCATCCAGAGACATGAAAATTATTTTTATAAAGTTAAATTAATGGTTGGTAACAGCCTGGACAAACAGGTAATCTGATTTATGTTCCTAAAATTAGTTGTGAGTGGAAACTAAGTTATTTCTAGAGGGCAGGGCTAGAGAGCAATTGTATAGCATGAGTAAATAACTTTAACACACTCACACGAATGTCTTGTCTGTTGATGAAAGGAAATCCAGTATAGGAAATAACAAAGTTAGCACTGTAATCTTTAAAATCAAAGGACAACAACATACATAATTAGGGATGTGATAAAGGCTTATTAATTGGAGGCTTATAGATAAACACATATAGTCAAGAGGAACTTGAATTTACCTTCTACCATATTACCATCCTTCTGAAAAATTCTCTCTTCACACCACTGACAATGGATCAGGTATTGAATCTTCTTGGCTGTTTCATCTGCTGAAGTAGGTCCCCTTAAAACTCTCACAACTACCAACACAAAATGTTCCAGAGCCACTGCAAACAGTACTTCTATGCCTTTGTTGCATCGTGCTGCAGCTCTACAATAAATTTTTAAAAGTTATTCGGAGGCTTATTTTCCCTTGTTTGGCATTAGATTAACAATACTAACCTGGACAGGTTCCACTCCCCTAAACTATGGGGAGTGGAAGGGTTATGGGAAATCAGGAAAAATTCAACTCTCAGTAGCAATGCTTTTAAAAAGATCATTACTGTAACTTTTATACAAATTAAAATACAGGAAAATAAAGGATGTTGCCAGGGTCTTCAGTTTTTGTATAATTTCCCTTATGGTATCCTCTTAATAGGACTATATTCTCTGGTTTTCATTGTCACTTTGTTTCTTGTCATCACTACCCACCTTTCTTTTTTGTCTATTTTTTCTATAAAAGCTTCTTCCAAACAATATATATTCATTGAGTAAGGACTACATGCAGGAAAGTATGCTAGTGGCTAAATATTAAGTGAAAAATCAATAGTCAAAGTTCTTTCCACCATTAATTTTATAGACTTTTAGGATTTAGTTCTACTAGATATACCACTTATGTACTTCATTTTCCTTCTTCAGTCATCTACTAAATTTATTTCATGTGTATTAATTTTAATATGTTGATGTTATATTACAAACAGTTTTAAGTATGTGCAGTAGATCATTGGCATGTACAAACTGAGCATCAGAGTTTCAGTTAATTAGGAATTAACCCTTAAGGTCTATGAAGTTTAATAATCTATAGTTATGCTGAGGTAGGAATTTACACCTAAATGCTGTGAAACTAGTGTTAGGGTTAATGAGTGAGCTGGCTGATCATCCATTATCTATATTCTCAATGTCCACTTATATATTATTATTATTCTAGCATAATAGTCTGTATATCATAGGTACTCAAAAAAGTCTTCCTTTTTTTCATAAATCTGTTATTAAATTCTGTTTGGAAATCCTAATGAGAAACAGGGAGAACTTGTTTTGTAAGTAAGATCATTTCGCAGAATCAAGTTTATAAGCCATCATTTTATTCAAATTATATAAAGAAGATAGAATGCATATAAAATAAATAGTTGTTTTTAAATTTAAAGAGTTTTTGCTTTTCCTTTTCATGTTGATATCCCTTATCTACCCTACATTGTTTAAATAAACTGATTTGAAATTCTTTCCCTTTTATCTTCAGTTTCTTACTACTTTAATTATCTAATATTTTAAGCTATAGAGTAAACTGAATATTCCAGGCATAAACTTTTAAATAAGATTCTGACAGATACAACATAAAATTAAAAACAAATAAAGATTACAAATATGGAATATAGAATTTATATTTCATGTATATTTTGAAAAATAAGATAAGCACTTCTTATAATATTGTCTCTTTTTATCATATACTAAACATACTAGGTACATTGTTGGCAATTTGGTACCTTGCCACTGCGGCTACAACAATTCGGGCTGCTAGTTCCTTGTAATATTCAGTTCGGACGATGTTACATCCGTAGTGACGCCGGGCAACATGTTGTGCCTTGGCATATAAAGAACTGATATCTGTAGACGTCACTGACACTATGCCAAGGTTTCTTATATTTCTGAATGCAGAATCTAGATAGTTCACTGATGTTCCAAAGGGGTCTAGATGTCTAAAATCAGAAAGAATATAGACATATGTAAACTCATATTAGTAAACAAAATTATACCATTGCAATTATTTCTAATGATAAAATTCCATGGATTCAAAAGTATAATACTTGCAAATCTCTTTTACATACATAATTCTGTTTTTAAAATAATAATAAAATGAAAGTATGATATGTAAGATTTGTAAAAATAAATCAGGCTTAGAAGAAAAGTGTCAGGGCCAGGCATTTTATTTCAAATGGTTAGAAAATTTCCTTATTGCACACTGCAGGCCTATGTCAAAAAACTATATTAGGCCGGGTGCGGTGGCTCACGCCCGTAATCCTAGCACTCTGGGAGGCCGAGGCGGGCGGATTGCTCGAGGTCAGGAGTTCGAAACCAGCCTGAGCAAGAGCGAGACCCCGTCTCTACTATAAATAGAAAGAAATTAATTGGCCAACTAATATATATATAAATTAGCCGGGCATGGTGGCACATGCCTGTAGTCCCAGCTACTCGGGAGGCTGAGGCAGAAGGATTACTTGAGCCCAGGAGTTTGAGGTTGCTGTGAGCTAGGCTGACGCCACGGCACTCACTATAGCCTGGGCAACAAGCAAGACTCTGTCTCAAAAAAAAACCAAAAAACTATATTAATTTAAATAAATAAACAACAACAAACTCTTAATTTTTAACTACCTCTACCCCTGAAAATTTCAGATCAGTTTAGAAAGTGACATAGCAGGCCGTGAGTGCTGGCTCATGCTGTAATCCCAGCGCTTTGGGAGGCTGAGACAGAAGGATGCTTGAGCCCAGGAGTTCAAGACTGCGGTGAGCTGTGATTGCACCTCTGCACTCCAGCCTGGCTGACAGAGTGAGACCCTGTCTCAAAAAACAAAACAAAAAACAAACAAAAAAGAAAGTGACATAACAAATCTTTCCACTTACATGAAATCAAAAGATCTCAAATGCATCAGTACATTGGCATCCATTTTGGTCACCTTGATATTACCAAGGTTTTCTTCTCCTTCTTCAAGAATATCATCATTCTTTTCCTTTTCTTTACTGTCCATCACCACTTTCAATTTGTTTAAATGACAGTTTTCCTGAATCAATGTCACAGAGTTTTCATTCAAGTCATTGATTGTAACTTTTACTGCATTTCCAAGATGTTTTGCCCACTGTAATCCCATTATCCCTTAGGAAAAATGTGGAAGAAAATGTTTTTAAATTGTAATAATTAAATAAAAACAGCATAATACTAAAAATATTTTATAAACAGAAATAAATTATTTTAAAATTTTGATATTTTTATAAGTAATTCTTATTGTACTTTCTTACTACAAAGCTTCTGAATGTGTCTAACAGATTTTCGTTAATACTTCTTATAAAACCATTTTTATGATCCTTGTTCAAATAAAATCTGTTTTTATTTTGTGGGATAGTACGTTGTTATTTTGTGGAATAGCAGGTAGTTGTTTTTTTCTTTGTTGGCTTTCTTACATTCTTACAATGAAATACTTTTTTTAAACAAAATTTTAAAAAGAAACCCAATATACAATATAAAGAAGAATGGCATTACTCTGCTTGAAGGGAGGATGGGAAGTTGGAATTCTTCCTGTTCCTCTTGCACCAAAACATGAAAAACAACTTTTCCAGACCAACACTGCACAATGGCACTGTTGTGAACTAAAAAGAACAACTGTGTATATGTAAGCAAATGATCAAGAAGAATTCAGACCAAGAAAGCCTGTTCTCAGAGCTTTCCATACCTACTGGATTTAAATCATAAGGGACATTAATTACAAAATGGGAGATAGTGACACAAGCCCAAAAAATATGGATTAGATTACCCCCTTATGTATTGGAAGTATTGACCATCTTCACCATACATGTGTCTGATAAATGGGAAAAATTATTGTCTACTGTGTGTTAAGGACTATTTCTTAAATATATTTTCTTATTTTCACAGCAAGCTTATGAGATAAATTCTAGGCTCCCTCATTTTAGGGATTGCAAAACATGCAAAATGACAACTACAAACCTGAAATGTTTACAAAGGTACATTAAAAAGAAAAGGCTAGAAATGTCTTCCTTAGACATTAGCTTTAATGATTTCAGGTTAAAAAAGGGGGGTATCTGTAGGAAAACACTGCAGACATATCAAACAACTGAAATATATAGTCTTTTGTCTGGATTCCGATTAGAATTTTTTAAAATATTGAGATAATTGGCCACATCTAAACAATTGATCTTAAAGAATTTTTAATTTTTTTAGGTGTAATAATGTTATTGTGGTTTTATTTTCTTTAAATCCTTATCTTTTAAAGATCCAACTGAAATATTTACAGATGAAATGATATATCTGAGATTTGTTTCAAATTAATGGGTATGGATGGACTAGAGTATGAGGTATGGGGATATAGATAAAACAATACTGAGTATAAGCTGCTAAGTTTTCAAGTGAGTGAGTGATGGATACACAGAAATTCATTTATTTTGCTCTTTAGTATATATTTGAAAATCTCACAATAAAAAAATTTTTACCTTCGATCTTTAATTTTTTTACAGCAAAATATTTGGTTAGCTGCTATATCCATATACATTTTCTAAGAAAAGATACAGCAAAAATCTGATAAATAAAAGGGGTTCCAAAAAAGCTTCCTAACTTACCAGTGGCTCCAAAGGCATCTAGACATTCCAAAGGTTTTCTTTCCTCAGCCAAAGCAGCCAATGTACAGAATATTAGCTGCCTAGAAGGAAGTGACAATCTGTAATAATTTTACTTTATCATGGCTTCTTCATTGGAGATTTCATTTCATTTAAAAATAGTGAGAACTGAGGTTCCTAGTTACTATCCAAACTATTTTGAAAAGATATCTAGTACTATATTCCCAATTTAATACTATATGAATTAAAAATATGTGAAATTAAACTATGAATAATCTAATTGGATTCTACTAACAAGCATTTATTCATTTATAGATAAACTTGCCCAAAAAAGCACAAACCTCTTCAATAATTATATATAAAGTTAGTTCTGTTTTACTCTCTCATAAAGAAACTGGCTTGGTAGAAAAAAAGAAAGGAAACAATCATTCTGAGAAAATGTTAAAATAGATGATTTTCATTCTGTACCTAGTTTTAAATTTTAATATATTAGAACATAAAGGTTGAGCAAAGGTACATTTATTATAATTTGAAACATCCCATACCCTATTTTCAATTTATCTTACCGATTTAGTTTCATTTTGGGATTAAAATACGAATCTGTTTTCTGAGGTATAGAATAGTTGGGACAAACTTGTACATCCGTGTCTGACTCCTTCAAAATTTCATTAGATGGTTTAGCAGTAGAAGCTAAGATGGAAAAAAAAAAAAAAAGATTTCCAGGGAAACACAAAAATAATTCTAAACATCTAAAACAATATATATTTTGAAAAATAACTTTATATTATTTTGTGTTAATGTAAACAGGTAAGTAGATGTAAAAAACCCAAAACCAAAGAACAGATTTATTCAGCACTGTCTCTGGAAAAGAGTAGCACTCAGTCAGGTATTTGGTGAATGAAAGAAAGTTTAGGCCGGGTGCGGTGGCTCACGCCTGTAATCCTAGCACTCTGGGAGGCCGAGGTGGGCAGATTGCTCAAGGTCAGGAGTTCAAAACCAGCCAGAGCAAGAGCGAGACCCCGTCTCTACTATAAATAGGAATAAATTAATTGGCCAACTAATATTTATAGAAAAAATTAGCTGGGCATGGTGGCACATGCCTGTAGTCCCAGCTACTCGGGAGGCTGAGGCAGGAGGATTGCTTAAGCCCAGGAGTTTGAGGTTGCTGTGAGCTAGGCTGACACCACGGCACTCGCTCTAGCCTGGGTAACAAAGCAAGACTCTGTCTCAAAAAAAGAGAGAAAGTTTAACTTAAAATACTGACTGCCTAGCATATTAATACACCTGTATTATGACATATAACAACAATCACCCTAAAATAGCACAAAATTCTAAAATACCTTTATGATTCATCAAACACCACATTGTGTTTACACAGGTTGGCTGCTAAATATATTTTATTGTAGTATAATTACTAGAAAATAAGTATCTCTGTATGGTTGTATTCTCTTAGTCAGCATACTAGACTTCAGAATACTTTCTCATAGTTATGATTTTAAATCACAAATTACATTCAAATGGCTATAAAGTAATTAAAAATGATTCTACATTTAATATACATTACAATCATTTAATATAAACTAAAATGAAATATCGATAGGCGTAAGTTTTAAATATTTAAGAAATGAGACATAGCATGTGTAGGGAAAAACAATTCAGATACTTTATGTTTTGATTTCTTGATAATACAACCTAACTATGTATACTATATATATGGCAACTATATTTCTCTTATTTCTCTTTCTACACCGCCAAGTAATAGTAACTTTCCTTAGCATTGTACTTCTATACCCGCTGAAGAGGCATGTCACCTCAGCCTTTCACAAACCAGATTCTGTGAGAAAATTAACCTTTACAGAAAATTAGCTCAGTGACTACTTTTTTCAATTCTTAAAAGAATGTACATAGCCTCATTCTAAATGTACAAGAGAGAAATCAATCATTATATACAATGGATGCTTTTGGCCATTAGGGCTTAATTTAATTCTCGAGAAGAGATTCCTAAGTAATAACAAGTGATTAATGATTTGCTATCACTCAGAATAATGAATGGCTTTTATTTCATTCTACATTCTTTTTCCAGCAATACGTATAACACAGTTATTGATGTAAAATCTGTCATGATGAATATAATTCTATAATCTTTCATTAAGATACCTATATTACTTTAGTGTCACTTGCTTTTTTCTTCATCATTAAATATATGTGAAATTGAGAACAGTTCAATGTTACTAGAAACCTTACAGAAAGAAACCAAAACTTGAAGTAATGGATTAGAACTCAACTAAATTATTAGGTTAAATCAGTATATTTTATCTGCCTGATGTCTTTAAAGAATAACTGGACCATTATTTAAGGATTTACTTAGTAATGTTTTAATGAGATTTCTCAACTTACCAGCAGTATACCTGGATTCAGTCTCTCCTTTATTCACATGGCGCCTAACATGTCCTAGCATATCAGTCCTTCTGGTGATTGTTGCTGAACAAATGATACAATGATAATGGGCGCCCATTTTACTGGATATCTATCAGAGAATTTAATTTAAATAAGTCACTAAGAAAATGAAATACAAGTATAAGTTTGCAAATTTAAGTATGTTAGTGTGTCTTGAGTTTAATGGTATAGAAGATAATATTAATTTTGCCATATGACTTTGAAAGGATCTTAACTTCCTTACTTATATTTACATATGCTTTTTAATCTTACTTTACAATAGGACACAAGTTTAGTTTCCTAGTTTTCCCCATTCATTATAAACAGCACATAATCATACTAGTGCTGCTACCTCCTGTTTACTTGGGGCCTTATAGCAAGTAGAGAATAAGCAACATTACACAGGGTTTTTCATCATACTGTTGTTATCATATGCAGAGTATCTTGGATTGGAATGATGGATTAGGCACCATCTTGACTACCATTCACTGAACACTTTTTTTTTCAACACTTTATTGTTTTTAGTGACTCAAAAGAAAAATAACGAGGACTCAATAAGGACAGTGTCACTAAAAAATGTTCTAGTTTGTATGGCTTATATTCCCTTAGGTCAAATATATCCTAAAAATAAACATATGTGTTTTTTAAAGTTATTAAGATTTCAGAAAGTTTCTTGATTCTGTTAAATTGAACCTAAAAGGAAGAACTTGGAGAGGATTAATATGAAATCAAAACATACTAAAATATTTACTAAATCTCAGAAATTGAAGGTCCGATTCCATGATCAAAAGAAAAAAATTACTAAGTTCTCCATTCCAAAATTAGTATATGGGTTAATTTTCATTTTAAACATATGAGAACAATTTATCTGACTGAAATTAAAAACTATAAAATGATAAGTTCAATATAGCAATCCTTTTTTCCATACATTTCACTTATGTATATGATGATCTGAAAGGACTCAGATACCGAATTTCAAAGTAAACCATATTGCTGAACATGCACATCTTAGTTTTAAAGTAAGTAAAAATTGCTTTTTCTTCACAGAGGACTAAATTTAAAAACAAAAAACATGATATCTGGTTACCTGTTCTCCAATAATATTTGGTTTCACTGGACGACAAGGTAAGTGACAGATGCACATCCTGTAACCTAGAATGAAGGTTCATTAAATGTTCAATTATTATTAAAAATTATAAGCAAATTTTATAAGAATTGGGGGCTAGGCACAGTGTGCTATGCCTGTAATACCAGCATTGTGGGAGGCTGAGGTGGGAGGATTGCTTGAGGCCAGGAGCTAGAGACCAGCTTGGGCATCATAGTGAGACTCTGTCTCTACAAAAAAATAAAAAAAATTAGCCTGGCCTGCTGGTGTATACCTGCAGTCCTAGCTACTCAGGAGGCTGAGGCGTGAGGACACCTGAGCTCGAGAGTTCACGGCTGCAGTGAGCAATGATAGTGCTACTGTGCTCCGGCCTGGACAAAAGAGTGAGTCTCTAAAAAAATAAATAAGGAATTGAGATTATCTTTATATTTGTAGTATCATAATTACTTGAATGAGATTGCTTTAGTGTATTCATTTGTTATATATGAGATATACATATGTGTGCATGTGTATACATGTATACACACACATAAATACAAGAGGATCCAGGTTCAAATTCTAGTTCTGCTGTAACTATTATTTCTGCATTAGTCATTCAGCTTTATCATTTATTCTCTGCCACAATGACTTTTTGTTAGGCATCGTCATTTTTCCTTCATGCTATATTTGCCATTATACAGACCCTTTTTCATCTATGATATAGCACTATCTAGATTCTCTTCCCATGCTTCTTAATCATCTTTACAGATCTTCTTCCTTCTCTCATACCCTGAAATATAGATTTACTTAGGCTTGGTTGGCTACATAACCTTTTTTCTCATTTCTCATTTTCTCATTTCTCATTTCTTAAATTCCTTCCATGATTCCAATTCTCTCTCCTGTGGGAAGGAATTCCAAGTTGTAGCTCTGGTTACTAACTCATTTCTGAAAGCCAGATCCATATTTCCAACTGCCTATTAAGGATATATGACTGAATATCTGGTCAGCATTTTAAAACTTACCTGTCAAGACTAAATTGATCATTTTCTCTTAAACCAGGTCTGTTTAATGTTTTATTTGAAAGATAATGCCTTACAATCACTTCTAACTCAAAGCCTGTAAGTTATTTCTAACTCCTTTCTTATACTGTAGATCTAATCATTTCTTAGTTGTGTATGTTTAAGTATCCCAGGAGTTAGCCCTGTATGACTTCTTTTTTCCATCAATATGTACTCCTATAGTTAGCTCATCTAGTCTCACGGCTTTACAAACCATCTATATTCTGACAACTCTCAAATTTGTATCTCTACCTCCAACCTTTCCCCAAAACTCCAGAGATCCATATAGCCTATAGGATACTTGACATCTCCACTTAAATGCATCTCAGCCTTTACATGCCTAAATCTCTGGTCCAGGCCTTCTTTCTCACACCTGGTCCTAATGTAGTCTCCTCCAGTTCATTAAAGGCCAACTCCATTTTTCTAGTTGCTCAAGTTCCAAATTCAGGCATTCTTGGCTCTCTTTCTCTTATATCTCACATCTATTCTTTCAGCAGATCTTGTTGCTTCTACCTTCAACATACTTGTCAACTACTTTGCAGCCTGCTCACTAAGACAAAACCTAACATATCTTCACCATCTACCAGAGATCAAAATCATGTGAAAGAACCCAACAGCCTAAGGTACACAAGAGAACCATATCCTTGAGTAAGCAAAGAAATATCACAAACCATTTAAGAAAAGAGAATAACTTGGAGGAGGCAGACCAAACCTAAAGGCTAAAGAATGACCTAAATAAAGAATATGAAACAGATCTTTTTAATTAAAATAAGACCTTTATTTTTTGAGAAAAAAGTCAATTATTATTTGCTATATATTTTTATATAAAATTAGACTTAAAAGACAGGATGGTCCCTGAATTAGTCTAATTCCCTTTTCCCTAAGTAACTAGTGATAACTTTTTACTAGTTCTGCTAAGAAAATAGTTCAGGAACAGTTTTGGCTTCTTCTCCAGGTGTCTCTTACTACCTGGTTTCATCCAGTTTGGTTGAAGTGCCAGACAATCATATTTAACAATTTCTATGCTGACACAATCATGTATAAATATACATATGTGTAAGATTACTATTTAGGGTTAGTTTTTGAAGAGGGATTTTTTGTGTTATCCAAATGGAATATTATAAAATCTTCCCTGTACATTGCTGTTTCCATTAGTTTACTGTGGAAATACTGCTAAGTTAGCTGGTATATACTCTTTTCAATGACTTCATAATATTTCATTGTATGCATATACCATAATTTATTGACCATCTCCTCTTTATTTTAATTCTAAGCTTTTGTTACTAAGTATGTGCTGCAATGAATATCCATTTACATCTATCCTTGCCTATTGATTCTATTACTTCTAAGGCACTCTCAGGAGAGAAAATACCTGGTGTATGGACGTGTATATTTTAAATTTTAAAAGATGTTGCCAGATCTTTTAGCAAAAATGCTATAATAATTTATGTAATTCACTATCTTAGAATCCAGAAAATCTTTTTGCTTGAAAAGATCTTGTTTTCTGTCCTTCAACTTTTTTTTCATTGAGTCCTCTTATTAAATTTATTCCCCCAAATTGTGTCATTTTTGCCATTATTATAATTGGTGTATTTTTTTTCTAATTTCCATTTATCTAGAGAAAGGCTATGATTTCTGAATATTTATGTTATATCCCACTGCCATCCTGAATACTCTTAGTGCCCCAGTAGCTTTTTATTTGTGACTCTTTTTTTTTTAAAGACACAGTCTCACTTTCTCCCCCCTTCTTCCCCCGTTAGAGTGCCATGGCATCAACCTAGCTCACAGCAACCTCAAACTCCTGGGCTCAAGCAATCCTCCTGCCTATCCAGTAGCTTTTTAAAGCCATCAGCAGAAAAAGACATGTTATCATGTCTTTTACAATGTTCATACGAATTAGTTTATTTTCTTATTTTACTACATTTACTATACCTTCAAAAATAAATGTAAAATAGTAGCAGTTCTACAGAAGAAAAAGTATAACTTACCAAAACATAGTTCACTAAGTAATATGGACTCCCAAGGTCAAACAGAGTACTCAGGACAGAACAGATGCTTAATAAATGTTTGTTGAACTAAACTACTTGTGTCATGTGTACCTACTGCCTATAGAGCTATATGGTCTTTTATTAAATATATTAGAAGTGACGACATTAAATCCCTAATAATTTCAAACTCGAAATATTTGATTATGTTCACAATAAAATTCCAACACTGGTTACAAATGTTACATTTTGTGCACATTACTTTTTTTGCAAACACAAAAATACTAACCTTCAAATTCAACTGAGACTTTCCAGTGTAAATTCTGAAGGTGACGACGAAGCTTATGGCTATTACAAGCTCTGAATTTTTCCTTAGGGCACAAAGGACAAGCCTGCTTGTTTCCTTAAAAACAAAGAAAGAATCCATAAAGTACAGAATATACTAGTTATTAATGCCTAGATTCAGCTACAAAAGAGGTAAGAGGGGTCTCCCTCTCCCACTTCTTAAAGTCTTTCTTAAATTTAGGGGGAAGTCATTGTCCCTGAACCAGGAGGTAGTTAACACTAATTATTGTAGCAAATGACCAGTGGTTATTTTTTTACCCTAAAACTCTCTCTGTGGCTATCTGATGCCCTTGTTGCCACTGAGAAGAGAGAGGTTGAGGATGTGATAGACTGAATGATATCCTTCCAGCAAAACTGCCTGTCACAGAGAGCATCACTCTGTACTTTGGACAGGGGAAAGGACTGCAGTTATCACACTCCCAGAAAAACATGTGCTGAGCAGACAGCATCAGTACCTGCTATGTATTCCTCAACTAATCTGCGTAACAAAAATTGTTAATATGTGAATTTAGGAAGAAGGAAGTGGAAGGAGCAGATGAGATCCAACATAATTGCTGTTGCGAGACTGGGGGCATGGTTAGAACCACTGTATCCAATACTGAATTTGTAAGTCCTTCTTCTTCAAAATAGAAGTCTTATTTAATTAGAAATGTAAGTTGGGTGTGATAGCTCATGCCTGTAACCCCACCACATTGGGAGGCTGAGGTAGGAGGATTTCTTGAGGTCATGAGTTTGAGACCAGCCTGGGCAACACAGCAAAATGCTATCTCTAAAAAACTCTATCTCATGCATTCCAGTGTGGTTGAGGAATAAAAAAAAAAAAAAAAAAAAAAAAAAAAAAAAAAAAAAAAAAAAAAAAAAACTCTATCTCTAAACAAAAACAAAAACAGCCAGGTGTGGTGGCATGCCACTGTAGTTCCAGCTACTCAGGTAGTTGAAGCAGGAGAATCACATGAGCCCAGCAGTTTGAGGTTGTAGTGAGCTATGATGATACCACTGCAAACTATACCACAAGCAACAGAGTGAGAACCTATCTCAAAAAATCCGAAAAACCCCAAACAAACAAAAAAGAAATGTAATATAGCTCAAATAAAAACTTTGATAAATACTGTATGACCCAGGCACAGTGGCGCTTGCCTATAGTCCCAGCTACTTGGGAAGCTAAGCTAGGAGGATTGCTTGACGCCAGGAGTTCAGGGCTGCAGTGTGCTTTGATCACACCTGTGAATAGCCACCATACTCCAACACGGGCAACATAGCAAGATCCTACCTCAAAAACAAAAAAGCCAACAAAAAAAGAAGAAAAAAATTCCATTTACTTTTCTGCAGAGCATGTTTCAGGGAAAAAAAATAGTATATGAAAGAATTAAAAGCTCAAATTCATGTTTAAAGCAATAAATATACATCAATAATCAATAACTCATTTAATAATTTTTAATTCAACAAATATCTTTCACATATAGCACAATATGGTATAGGTACAATTTATCTTTTTATATATACTTCCTATTTCAAAAAAAACATAAGGTGATCTTAATGATGGAAACCAGCACTAAGTATAACAGAACAGAAAGAGAGCAGCTTAGGCCATTGACCACATCACGGAACTCCTGAACCAGCTCTAAATTGGCTAATCCTGGGACTTCTTTTTCATGAGACAATATTATGCTTTATATTATTGAAGACCCTGGGTTTTTGGATCTCTGCTACTTGTAGCCATATGTAATTCCTAACTTATAGAATACACAGCTCTTAGATATCAATGAGTTTATAATTTCCTTGAGGAGTTATAAAATAATTTATTCCCATAGCACCTTTATACATAGTAGGCTGTCGATTTCCTGAATAAAATTTTTTATTTTACTATTGTTCTAGTTCATTAGGAATAAACAAGTCTACTCTTAGCAAACAACTTTCACAAACTGAAAGATGATAAACAATTAGAAATTAAACAAAAACATGGAAATACCTGCATCAAGATTATCTGAGTTCAATGAATTGGCAGAGTCAAAATCCCCTTCAGTTACAAAAGCTAATTTCTCTAGATCAGCAAGCTGCCTCTGAATTGAGAAGTGTCTCTCTGAAAGGAAATTTTAAGAGTTAGAAGACTGTGCTTTAACAATTTGTACTGTAGTTCCATCTTTATTTTATCATATCACATAGAAGTTTACAATTTTATTTTCTGCAACATAATCTCCTAGTACCTAGATGGGGAATACTGCCACAGCTCAGTTCATAAAATAATAAGTATGCTTTAGAATGCAAAAAGTTGGGGGAAAACACCCCACTGAATAATTTTACAGCTTTAAAATTTTATCTAGTCAACACAATAATTTTACAAAAAATGTTTCTGCCCTGCACAAAATGCCAAAGAAGGAAATATAAGCCATGTTTCCTGTCTTCAAAGAACTTTCAATCAGGTGGGAGAGGTAAATACATTAACTTCTAACTATAATACAAGGTTGGATGAAATGAACAGTAGAGGTAGGACGTAATATGATGCAGGCATATAGAGGCAGGAGTAATTCTAGGAAGTGACTTTGAGAACATCTTTACTGAAGAAGTGCCATTTGATTGAGACTAATTGAGATCTGGTGACTGGACTTATAACTTCCTAAACAAAGGCATATGGTATAAAATACACAGTTGCCCCTACCCTACCTTGGATGGAATGTAATGTGTTTGGGGGCATGGAGTGCCAAAAATATATTACAGATCATAGAAGGCATATATTCTATGCAAGTTAGTTTGGACTTTATTTTTCAGGTAATGGTCTTTATAGGTTTTTGAAGTGAATAATGATATGATTTGAATGCATTTCACGAGGGTTTCTCTGGCAGTAGTACAGTAAGAAAGGTGAGAAAATTAGTAAGGGGAGGGTACGGAATATCAGAAGGTAAAAGAAGAAACAACAGAATTTTAGATGTGAGGAATAAGGATGAAAGATAAAATCAAACACGATTCTAACATTTTGAGTTTTTATGGGTGAGAATAATGGTACCATTACTAAAGAAGGTAAAGGAAATCTTTTTGGCAGAAAGGAAGAAGAAAAAGGAAATTTAAATTTTGACTTAGTGTGTTTTATGTACTATTGATAGAGTATTCTGTAATAATGCCCAGTAGGCAGTTGACAATTTGTTTTTGAAGTGCAGGAGGATTCTGGAGATACAAATCATAAGTAACACACATTAGGTTAAACTATGAGAATGAGTAAGAAACCCTATGAAAAGTGTGAAAAAGAGAAGGAGAAAGTCAAGACCCAGTTCTACCTAGTTATGACTGATTTCAAATGACTAGACTATCTAAAATTAATTTTAAAATGTGATTAATACATTTTTTAACCCTTTGCACTCGGATGTCGAGTGTAGATAATGTTGAGTGGATAATGAGAAAAAAGCAAGTGCAAAGGGTTAATTCTAATTCATTGCAGATTTCTTATCATTATGTATTTGTTCCAGTAATGCATTTTCAGGTTTCTTGAACATTACACATTCTTCAAATTAAATACTTCTAAATTTGAGAACACATGAATAAGTATATTCTTGATAGGGCTGGGAGGATACATTCCTCAATGCTGCTGAACCCACTACTGATTGATATAAACAGATACAATCTGGAAGTGAGATATGAAGTGATGTAGATATTTATAATAGAAGTTGGTTAAAAAAATCAGGAAGGCAGATTATGAAAGAATAATAGTAAGGAAAATCAAAATAATGCAGAAGCCAAGGAAGAAGAGTCTATAAAAGAGAAATGCTCAACATTAAGTATCACAGACAGTTGTAGAGATCAAGAAAAGGCTACTGAATTTAGTATGCAGGAAGTCTCTTGTGGACCTTTAAGAAAGTAGGTTCAGTGGTATTTGGGAATAGAAATGGGATTCGAAGAAAGAAAATATAGAAAATCAGTGTAGATTATTTTTCCAAGAAGTCTGGCAGTATAAACAAGGAGATGAATGGTATTACAACTTGTTGGTTTTTTTCTTGCTAAGGATGGAGAGATTGAATATATATGCATCCCAAAAGAAAGGAACATTTACAAAGTGGGGGCTGTATATATAAGACTAGGAGAACTGACAGGTAAAGATCCAAGGAGATAGGAGATGATGGGATAACCCACAGGGATCTCTAATATTCATTATGTTATTAGGTTAAACAATTTAAAAACTTAAGACTTTTAAATTCAATTCTTGATACTTCCACCTTCCTGCCTATGCCTATTTGAGCTTCATTGTCATTTCATCTGTTCACCTATAATTTGTATCCTTGTTTGTCTCCCCCACAAATAAGCAATAAGGCGGCAAGGGCTATGCCTTATTCATCTTTCTGATGGCCAAGTGCCTAGCACAGTAACTTGCACACAGAAGGTACTAAAATTTGTTAAGTAATAATTTAAAAAATCAATAGACTTTTTGGATGCAATAGAATACTGTGTCAATAATTTTGGAATCCAATTCAGCATTATCAGACCCTCCTGCTCAAATTTATTAAAAGATAATTTTTCACCTTATTTTTAAAGAGTAAAACAAAGGCAACAAACATTATATTGGTTAACTTCTTATACTAGATACTCTTCAAATCAGTTATGATGAGATTTAATTTCCATAAACAGGCGAAATATTTTCCTATTTGATCAAAAACATTTAATTGCTAGATCAAACAGTAATATTCAGGAAATGAATCCATGTGTACAAACCAACCTATCTAATTGGTAATCATAAAGGTTTGTGGATTCCATGGTTCAAAGATCTGTATATGTGAAAATAAGATACATAGCGCTACATAAGATGTACTTATTAAAATTATTATAACTATTAAACAGTACAAAATAAGAGAAAGGAGCCTGGTGAGTTAGAGAATTAAAAATCCTATGGTTCCACTATTGAAAACTCTCAAAGATCTATCTAAAAATTCATGATGTGGCTATAAATATCTCTGAAATCATTTTCTGGTTCAAGATAGTAGATACCAGACAATCTGTGTTTGAATCACTCAACCTGCTTTTCATAACATGCCAATAATCAAGAAGTCAATAGGCAATCCTCTTTTTAAATCAGATGAGTCCAAGATGCTAGGAGGGTCTTTTACAACTTCTTCTGTTACTTTTTCCTCAATTTTCAATTCTATTTCAGACAGGACATCTTCATCTTGCCTAGTTATGACTGACTTCAAAGGACTGACTAGATTAGACCATCTAAAAATAGTTTTTTTTAAATGTGATTAATATATATTTTAGTTTTAATGCAATTCAGATGTCTCAATTATTACATATTTGTCCCATTAATGCATTTTTAGGTTTCTCAAACAGTTTACCTTATTCAAATGATGTATTTGTAAATTTTTGAATATGTGAATAAATCTTTCCAAATTATATTTTACATATTTTTGCTGGTGGGCAGGTAAAGAAAGCATGCATTTCCTAAAGCTGCTGAACCACTTTTAATTAATATAATCACATAAACAGATACAATCTGGACATGAGGTAGGAGGCTTCTTAGGGGAGTTTAATACCATCACCCCCCTCTCGATCCACTGTAGTTGTGGCGAAGAAATAATTGGCCTTATTTTGCACCTACAAGCACCGATCTTTTATGATGAGGAGGGGCCTACTTGAGGCATACTGACTTTGTCTTCCTTGTGATCAGCCCTACTCAAAACTATAATTTTTAGTTGTTTCAAAATTGCAAAATAATTATATTAGACTACAACTATCCAAGTGTTTTATAAACATTAAACTCAAAACTGGTCTAAAAGTAGGAAAGATGATGGATTAACTTTATAGTTATAACTTTATAACTATAAAGTTACAATTCAGAAAGAGCATAAAAGTCAATTTATGGACCAAAAAATAATTTGTTAAAAGAACTTCACTGAATCTTTCTTAGGTTTTATGCTTAAAAATGTTCAGAAGATCCTTAGGAAAGTGTTACTCATCAATCTTTTATATTCCAATATAGTCCAATAGACTATTACTTAGAAAACATGCAAGCACATTAGAAGCAAAATAATATGGGTTATTAATTTTCAACAGTCAAGTTCCTATGGAATGGAGTACAAAACTCAATTTATGTATGGGGGAAGACATCCATAAATTTAGTCGATTCTTTGCTAAACTATTCATCAGTCTCAAATTCTTTTTGGAAGCAAGCTGCTAAAGAAAATAAAATAACGAGAAAAACCCATATCTTTGTGTATGCCGAAGCAGAAAAGCTAGCTGACAGTCATGGTTTCCAAATCTCGGCAGACAGGATCTAACAGTATCTGTAAACAGGTTGCCTCGGTTACTATGTCATATCTGAAAGGACATAGATTAACGATGGCTGACTGGGCTGAGAGGGAAACTACCAAATTACGTGTAACTTCCTATTTTTGTACCATAAAAAGATCCCCCTTAACCAAGAAGCCCTTAACTTCATTATTTCCTTCTATCTGCAGCACCCTGGCCTCCACATACCCTTCACCGTGATGTCCTCGGGCTTATGGAGATGCTTTCTCCCATTCTGCACGCCTGCTTTACCCGCTACCCGGGTCCCTCCTCCCTCTTTTCATTTCCCTAAACCTGACTTTCCTCATGAAAAACATCCCAGTGAAGAAGGGCCTCCCCTCCTTCCCAGCCAGGCGCACTTTCTCGCTTCTCCTGCGGCAGAAAGATCTGGGCCTCCTGCACTTACTGCTTTCAGCCTCCTCAGGGGCAGACGCTAGGGACGGGGACAGGGCCGGAGCCTGGGCCAGGGCAGGGGCTGGGGCTGGAGCCGAGGCCGGAGTCGGAGCCGAGTCCAGAGCCGAATCCGGGGCCGGAGCTGGGACCCGAGCCGAGTCCGGGGCCGGGGTCGGGACCTGGACCTGGGCCACCTCCACCTCCTCCTTCTCCAGGGATAGCAGCTCCTCCTCCGCCATATTCTCCATAGTTACCGCCTCCGTGCCAGGCCCGCCCAGGGACCGAGAGGGGGCTCACGGCGGGGTGAGAGAACTGACGTGAATGCCCACTGGGCTGGATCCAGGGACTGGGAAAACAAATGGGGAGGGCGGGATGCGTGCAACAGACAAAAGATGAAGAACCAGTGACCAAATCCTGCTAGTGAAAAAATAGGAAGCCAGAGGCAGCAATTCCAGGTCCCCGTCTGCTTCCCTTTCCCCGAGGCGTTACGACGCCACCACAGACTGCGCAGAAGCGCACTGGGGACGGCGTCCAATGGGGTAAGAGAGTTCCGTTTCCGCGGTGCGTCTGCGTTCCACCCGTCCGCTACGGAACAGAACAGGACTACAATGCCCAGGGTGCACTGCACCGCCTGGGGCGGGGCCGGAGTTCCAAGTCCTGGGGGAAGCAAATACCAGTCTAAACAAACGCTCCGGAGCGTTCGGGTGGCAAGCATTACCGGAGCGCGGAACTACATTTCCCAGCGGGCATCGGGTTCGGGGGTCCTTTCCCGTGGCCAGGACCGCAAGAGTCGCCACCGCCGTGGGTGCTGATGAGGTAGGAACTGGGGGGGGGGGGGCAGTGTGCTGACGTTTTTGCTGGACAGGGTCCCCCTCCTCCCCTGCCCCAAATACCTGGGGACTCCGGAGTCACTGGACCCTGGGCGGGGCGACTCTGGGCTGACCCGGAGTTGAGCCGGCTCGATGGAGGGTGAGGTTCTGGCCCGGCCCGCCTCCGGGGTCGCCCCTCGCCCCTCGCGCAGTGTAAAGGTCCACGGGTTTCTGTGGAGCTGGTGGTGGCTGTGGCGGTTTTCGGGCCGCGGACGAGCTTGCCTGTCTGTACCGCTGACTTGGAGTTGGGGGTCTGCTCTTTAGTTCGCACCCTCACCACACCACACCTGAATACTCTTTTTTTTTTTTTTTTTTTTGCTTTAGCCTTCAATATTGCCCGTATCGGTAGCGCTGCGGTGTGGCTGTAAGCGTCCAGTGGATAGGAATTGTTCTTTTGCCCTGTTTTGCCTTGTTTTCAGGCTGATAACAACCGGAGCTCTGAGTTGTGTTGCGCTTCGGGGCACTTGATTATTGCGTTTTAGATTCTCCAAGGCATATGCCAGTGAGTCCTCTGTTCCTGGTACTTCTCTTCCCTTCACTCTCTGGACCTGCTTGGCACTCAATCCTCTCTGGTTCTTCTCTCTCTCTCTCTTTATTTTTACCGTGAAAAAACCGCCTGGGGCAGTGAGAGGGGAAAACTCGAGATTTCTGGCTGCCCTGCTTGGAACTGGTCCGAATGTTACAGGCAGGAGGGACGCAGAGGGAAGCCCACTTTAGTGTCACGTACAATACACAGACTTCCATTCGGGTTTTTTAGTTAATAAAACTGATAAATACCTATCTTCTTGGTCTGTATATTTCTTACTTCTTTCAGAACATAGGGGAGAGATAGCATGCGTAGTTGGCACTTTGAAACTCTTAACTGGAAGTTAGCCTCCCTTTTCTCCCATCATAGTTAGGAAATATATCGAGAAGATTTTATTTAACCTCTCCCCAGTTTAAGTGAAATAGATTATCCCCGTGAAGCTTCTGTGAATTATAATCATTTTATATAACCATTTTAATGCCCCTCCCAACTTTAACAATTATTCCTGATGTATAGTTGACTGATTGCTTAACAGTCAATTAAAGATGGGATAATAACACTGATTATAATTTATAGAAATGCTAACTATATCTGTGCATCATCCAAGAATCATTGATTTTTTTTGTTTCTAAAGACTAGATGGTTCACCTGAGAGCTAGATTCAATAATTTAACTTCATCATTTAATACCAGCTGGAAACCAGAAAATGAAAAGAATTAGATTTAGCATGTGGATTCTATGGGAATTCTAGTAAGAATTTCTATGCATGGCTCTTGCTCTTGAGACATGCTAAAGAAAGAATCTTTAAAGTTTGAGGAATTACATTAATGGAATGTATTACTCATCTATTGCTGCTGTATAAGTTATTCCAAAATATAGTGACTTACAACAACAATAAACATTTATTACCTCACAGTTTCTGTGGGTCAGGAACTCAGAAATGGATTTCTTGGTGGGTCTGGCTCTGGATCTCTCATGAAGTTGCAGTGAAGATATCTGCCAGGGCTACTGCCATGTCAAGGCTTGATTAGAGATCAGCTACAGGATTAGTTTCAAAGGTAGCTCACTCACATGGCTGGCAGTTGGTTCTGGTTGTTGGCAGGAGGCCTCAGTTCTTCGCTGGTGGGCCTTTCCAACGTCTGTTTGAGTGTCTTCATGGTGGCTGGCTTTCCCTAGAGTGAGCAATCCAAGACAGAACAAGGCAGAAGCCTTGATGTCTTATATGATGTAGCCACATACACCATGTAGCAATATCCTGTTGGTTACATAGGTCAGCCCTATTCATTTTGGGAGTGGACTACTTAAGAGCATAATAACCAAGCAGCAGGAAACATCTGGAGCCATCTTAGAGACTGCCAGCACAGGAAATCTCCTCTACTTTACATTGCTTTGACTTGCGTAAAATATGAGTTCACACTAAGTTAGATATAAAACATTTGTCATAGTAAATGTGTAAATGTTTTTCCTCAGACAGTCCACAATCTCCAGTGTACTTTTTCAATGTGTCTTGTGGGTAAGAGGTTTAAATTAGCACTATTTTGTATTCAAAGCAACATCATCATCAGACCAGCATGGATCAGTTTAAATTGTAAAAGTAATGTTATAACCAGATAGTTGTCTCTAAGCAATGCATTTCATGAAAATTCTTATATTTTCTTATACCTTTTCCCTCCATGGAATGGAATCTTTGGAACAAGAAAGGGAAAAGATAATTACTACTTTGGAAACTCAACTGTGAATTTAACTATTACCACAAACTATCTTACAAAGCAAAATTTCTTGGTAATTTAGAGTCTGTTCTTATAAGTCTATGTTGAACATTCATTTATTAATTTTTGTTAATTTTCTGTTAGCCATTGGCATTTGTTTCTCTTCATATTCATCAAAGCATTCTAAAAGTTTGATTTAGTGTAATTGATCATTCTTTTATAGAACTTCACTCATACTGATTATGGTTTACCAGGAATAATTGGAATTGCTTGGTTTCTAGCTTTTGTTATATTCATAGTCTCTTTTTTCCTTTTATTTTTTGGAAACAGTCTCACTTTGTTGCCCTGGCTAGAGTGAGTGCCGTGGCGTCAGCCTAGCTCACAGCAACCTCAAACTCCTGGCTCAAGTAATCCTCCTGCCTCAGCCTCCTGAGTAGCTGGAACTGCAGACGGGAGCCACTATGCCCAGCTAACTTTTTGTTTCTATTTTTATTTAACCTGCTAATTTTTCTTTTTTTATTTTTAGTAAAGACGGGGTCTCACTCTTGCTCAGGCTGGTCTCGAACTCCTGACATCAAGCAATCCTCCTGCCTCGGCCTTCTAGAGTGCTATGATTACAGGAGTGAGCCACTGTGCCTGGCCTGTTATGTTCATAGTCTCAATATGTGTCACTACTAGTGATTAACTCTATTTTTGGGCTTTGCTTCTACGTCTCTTTTATATTTTCCCACCCCAACAGACCTAGTGATATTGCCAATTTCTGGTCACTGTGTCCCAACACAGGACACTGCTGGTGCACACTAACTTGAGACTGTTTATAACCATAGGGTGTGGCCAAATTTGTGTTAATTTTTTTTTTTTTCCTGTCATCAGCTAACTATTGACTTGGTTGAGAGCAGGGGTGAAAAATTGAACTAGGATTGGAAGTGGACAGAGGAACTGCAATGAGCAAGAATTGAAAGTGGCTTAGAATGAAAGAGTGAATATTCCAAGGAAGAATAATTCTCTCATTCACTCAGCAGACATCTATAAGCGCCTTCTAAATTTTTAATGTAGCTTACTCTTCAAGGAGCTCAGGTTCTAGTGGAAAGACAACCACATAAGCAAATATTTACTTAGACCCTGCTGTGTACCACCTTGTGCAAGGTATTTTTTACATCCATTGTTTATTTGAGTCCTTCAAAAATCCTCTGGGTCAGGTTATCTATTTTACATATGGAACTGGGGATCAAAAAATGTATAGGATTTCTCCAAAGTCTTATTCACTGATGACAGAGGGTGTGTTGGGAAAAATGAAAATTTAAGACTAATTGGTTTTGCAATGTGGATGAGGTGCAATATAGCATGTTGGGGTAGCTTAGAAATGTTAGGGTGGCCTAAGGATATTGCTGACCTAGGAACCTCTGCAGATGTGATGGTTTGAGTGTGGCTGGTTTCCAAATGGTAAGGATATTCCAAGGGCAGGAGGAACGGAAAACAGTACCTCACCTGGGGCGGAAAACTGCTCCAGTACTGCTATTAGGAGCATCCAACCTGCTGGAAAACTAGCCTCGCCGCAATTCTAAATTTATGTTCTTGTTTCATTTTAGGCTAGAAATAGCTTTGCTGAGATCAGTGTGCACCTGGATATCTTAATCTGTATAGTAATCTTTATAGCCTGATTGTATAAGATAAACCCGATTGTTGTAATCGTTGTGGAAATCTTTAGAACTTGTTTGCTTGTGGAATATCTTTAAAACATGTTTAATTGTATGATTCATGATGATCTTTTGTTCTTGAGATGAATAAATACGAGTGAGGAATAACTCTTGGGATTCTTGGTCTGGAAAGCCTTGAGTCCCCTCACCCCACTCTTTCTGCTCTATTGTTTCTCTTCTTATTCCTGATGCCCTGTTGTCAACCCTGTCTGCTGGGGAACTCCCAGCAATAGCAGTCCTGCAGACAGTTGCAAATGGTGATCTGATGCTTAAGAGAGGTCAGGGATCAAGGCATAGTTTCAGAGTCATTCCTGAAAAGGTGATAGATGAAGCGATAGATTAAAGGCTGAAGGAGAGGAATAGATCATTATGAAGGAGAATGTAAGTGAAGAAAGGTAGAACAATGAGAGAATCTCATCATCTTGGAAATGGTTAAAAATGGAAATCATTTTATAAAATTTCAATTTTTATATAACTGAAAGAAGAAAAAATTTCTAATGTATATTTTATTGTGTTAAAAAACCCATAATATGCCGGACGCGGTGGCGCGCGCCTGTAGTCCCAGCTACTCGGGAGGCTGAGATGGGAGGATCGCTTGAGCCCAGGAGTTCTGGGCTGTAGTGCGCTATGCCGATCGGGTGTCCGCACTAAGTTCGGCATCAATATGGTGACCTCCCGGGAGCGGGGGACCACCAGGTTGCCTAAGGAGGGGTGAACCGGCCCAGGTCGGAAACGGAGCAGGTCAAAACTCCCGTGCTGATCAGTAGTGGGATCGCGCCTGTGAATAGCCACTGCACTCCAGCCTGGGCAACATAGCGAGACCCCGTCTCTAAAAAAAAAAAAAAAAAAAAAAAAAAAAAAAAAAAAACCCATAATATATTTCTTTTCTTTTTTTATTTTTTATTCTTTTCTTTTCTTGGCAAAGTCTCATTGTTGTCTGGGCTAGAGTGCAGTGACACAATCATAGCTCTCTGCCTCAAACTCCTGGGCTCAAGAGATCCTTCTGCTCAGCCTCCCGAGTAGCTGGGACTACAAGCATGCACTACTATTCCCAGCTAATTTTATTATTTTTGTAGAGATGGCATCTTGCTCTGTTGCCCAGGCTGGTCTCGAAATCCTGCCCTCAGTCCATCCTCCCAGGGTGCTGGGATTATAGGTATAAGCCAATGTGCCTGGCCATAATATATTTCTAATGTTTCTTTTAGCTTTTCAAGATGTTCAGCAAAGAATCTTGTGGGAAAAAAGAGAAGTCTCGGAGAAAAGGTACCACTTCGACACCCTACTTTGGTGAAAAAGTAAGAATTTTGATTTACTGACCTAAAGATGCCTTTTTTAAACAATTTATTTTTGTTTAATGAAAAAATACACCTCATGATTATAATGAGTTATGTAAACATTTTGTTCTGCCCAGCTGACCTAGAAGAAATCATTTGCTTTTCCTGTTCTTTATTTGTTATTTTATTTATTCCTCACAACTCTGTGAGGGCACGTATTAATATTATTATCCCAATTACATAGAGGAAAGAACTAAGGCTTAGAGGTAATTTGCGTAGGCATTCCTGACTTCAATTCTAAGCCCCCCAAATCTTCTCATTCGTAGCAATAACTCACCATTGGACCACTTTCCACATTTTCTGCCTTTTCCATTTCCTCAGCATTGGCTAGGATTGAACTTTCTTCAGTCAGAATGGCCAACACTGTATGAGGGAGGCTAATAGTAGGAAAGACATACTTACCATGTTCCTTTCTCTATAACTGTTAGCACATTGCCTTAAGAAGTGTTTTGGGAGATGAAATTTAGGGTATTTTATTAATTGAGCTGGGTATTGTCTCCAGGAAGAAGACTGCAATGTGATTGATGTAACCAAAGCAAACAAACAAAAAACCCTATAATAAAATTTAATATATGCTTTCTAAATAGTCTTTATAGTTCATCATAAGAATTAGATAGTATTTGTGCTGTATTACTGTGCAAGATGTGAGACTAATCTGGCAAAGGTGAATATTCACTAAAGAAGTAGTTTCTTTGGTAGCAGATTAGTTTATAGGACTTTTTTATGACCTGGATGAAGTATTCCACATATCATTGTACTTTTTGGTATTTATTTCTTGCTTGTTAACTTTATGATTGCTAATTTGGTCTTCTAAGTACAGTGATAATTGGAAAGGGGACTCTGGAACATGACCATACAGTATTCTGTACTATTTACATACCCCCCATTTGCTATTAATAATTGGCATGCTGTTTGCAATTCTCTCTCATTCCCTCTTTTTAAAATTTTTTATTTGTATAAATTTAAGAGGTACAAGTGCAGTGTTGTTACATGATACATTGCATAGTGGTGAATTCTGGGCTAGTTTAACCTGAAAGTGTATTTTGTACCCATTAAGTAATTTCTCATCCCTTATTCTCCACCCATCCATACCTCATTCTGACTATCCAGTGACTGTAATACCCCAGTCTATGTCTATGTGTACACATTATTTAGCTCCCACTTAGAAGTAAGAACATGTGATATTTGACTTTCTGTTTCTGAATTGTTTCACTTAAGATAGTGGCCTCTAGTTCCATTCATGTTGCTGCTGAAGACATGATTTCATTTCTTTATTGTTTTTTCATTAATCTCTCTCCACTGTCTAGAATGTCTTTGGTACATGGTAGATGCTCTAAGCAAGTTTGTCCAAGGTGTTTTGAATTCAGAATCCACTGGAAAATGACTGGATATGTAGTTTTGCTTTGTAGAAGACTGAACCTCACCCTGACGATGCCACCTCACAGCAACCTCCTCTGAATTGTCAGCTGGCCTCCTGTTCTGACATGTGTATCTTATCTCATCTCTAATTCCTGAGCATCTAAGGCTTCTGTGTTTCTAGTTGAGTTTCCCTTCCTCTTACCAAAGTTTGTGTATCTTTAAACATTATTCCCCAGGAAAATTCATTATTTAATGGGAATGTTGATTTATAATAATAATGGTGAAATAGTTTTGTTTTTATACTGTGCTTTATTTTGTTTTTGGTTTTTTTTTTGCTTTTTTTCCTCCAAATGGCATTCTTATGACAAGAAAGAGAAAAAAATCTCAGCAAATTCTGCTAGTTCAGCTTGCTCTATAAGATCAATTCCATCAGAGAAGAGAAAACTGGTGAGTGTTTAGATACCATAACCAACTTGTTATTTACATTAAAGTTTTAATCTACAGTTAGGGTTTCCCCCACTGCTTTTCCATAATTTTTTCTTTCTATTATACTTATTTAAAAAAATACATATATATATAATTTCAAAATATTATGGGGGCACAAATGTTTAGTATATTGCCTTTGCCCTACCTGAGTCAGAGCTGCAAGCATGCCCATCCCCCAGATAGTGCATACCGCACCCATTAGGTGTAAATATATCTATCCCCTCCTCCCCACGACCTGCACGACACCCAATGAATGTTACTACCATTTGTGCACATAAGTGTTAATCACTTAATACTTTTTGATAGCCAACAGAAAGAAGGCCAGTGTTTGGGTTTTTCTTTCTTCTGCTCACTAGAAAGAATTTATTTAGTTCTTTATTTCTTGTGCTGATAGACTTTACCATGTAGGATTAGATAACATGGATTAACATGGATATAAATTTAGTGAGTTTTAAAGTCTTCTAACATACATGGTTATATTTGTCTTTACAGTCTCCTTTTGAGATAGCAAAGGCAAGTGTATTGTTTGCATTTTCAGATTTGGAAATTGAGATCCAGAGGGTTAAATGACTTACCCAAGGACATAAAACTGAATACAGCAGCAGAACCAAGTCCAGAGTTCTTTCCACTTTCACACAAATAATTAGAGATAGTGACAGCAGATTAAACATATAAAGCCCCTCTCTGGGTGATTGGTGAAATACTTAACCATATTCAAGTTGAAGTTATGTGTATATCCAGGATAGCTACATCGTTGTGTGTGCGCGTGGAGGGGTTAATAAGAGAAAGTAGTGAAAGTTCTGAGGATGCAAAATTGTGTTTTTAAGAATTTACTTGTTTCCAGGTGTTATGAAGAGTAAAAAAAAAAAAAAAAGAATTTACTTGTTTATAAAACAGCAACTCAAAGTACTATTAAGAAAAACAAGAATGTGTATGTTTGTTTTCATATAATTAAACTATGTCAATTTATTTTTGTTATAGTAGCCTTCTTAAAATATACTGATTTTATCACATTTTCTCTCTGATGAAAAATCTTCACTCACTATTTAATATGTCATTCAGGGCTCTTTTAAATTTCCTCATATCTTACTATGCAATTTACTTTTTTTTTTCTTTCCTCAAAGAGTCCTTCTGCCTCTGGCTAGGGTGGTTTATTTTCTTTATTCTGAATTTATACCAGTCATCCTCAGCTTCTTAGAATTGCTAAGCATTCTTAGCTAAAAATGCCTTCTTTTTTTTTTACCCTTATTTCAGTCTTTAGAATATATTTTGCCCACCTGTTTTTCCTGGATACCTTTCATCTTTTGGTTGCTCTTTTGAACTCTTTAGCACTTATTAACTATTCTTCTGCTTTGACAGTTATATACTTATATATTTAATATTAGGTTTTTTGTACATATCCTCATACTTCTTTCATCTTTATCCTTTTACTTTAAGCTCTTTAGGACAGGGACTATATATATCTTATGTGTCTGTTATCTTTCTTGTGACTAACCTTGTGTCTTCAGAGTACATAGATAGGACAATAGATTCAGACAGATCTGGTTTCAAATGATAGCTCTTCTACTAAATTGCTGTGTGACATTGGGGAAGATACCAAGCTCTGTTTTAGAGTTGGGTATTTTATCTGTAAAATGGAGATGATGATAAATCTGTCTCACAGAATTATTAGAAGGATTAAATGAATTATGTCAGCCTCCTCACTAATACAGCTATGGGAAAAATATTGTCTGTAACTAAAGTACCAGTGTATACTTTATATTTCCTAAATGATAGGCTTTTTTTAAAATTTCAGAAATCAGATCATACAGATATTCTGTACTGTAATACAAAAAGAAGACAAGAACTGAAAAGGTAAATTTCCACTTTTTCTTATCTTTTTACTTTTTTGGTTTAGAATTGTGAAACTAAATATTTAGATTTGAAAAATCCTTTATTTGCTTTGATTAGTACTATTTTGCATGCAGAATCTCTAGCTATATCACAGATTATGACTATTGACTTTTTAAAATATTGCTATAAATTTAAGAAAAAGTTGAGTAGAATAAAAGTCTATAAAATTTCAAAACTCTCTTGTGTAAATGACACTCAAAATGTAGATTTTTATCTCAAGTGATTTGATTTTGTCACATGATTATAAGGCACATAACTTCATTACATATGCTAGTGAAAGAAGTTATAAGGCTAATATAGAAAGTTTGGATAAATCACTTTTATATATTACCTGTAAAGAGAATATATTTCTTATTGAATTGATATGGCTCTGAAACATTTTAATTAACCAGCATGTAGTTACAACTAGAGAACTTGGGGGAATCATGATAGAAATAATGGAAATTATTTTCTTTAATTTCTGCTTTTTTTCATATAATTTTCAGAGAATTTTGTGGTAAAAGAATTTCTTGCCACTAAAGGGGGTAAATAAGTATAAAATATATAATATGTGCCAAAAGTTGGTAAGATCAAGGTTTCTCTGGAAATAGGGAATTATGGAAAAACAATTAAAATGGCATTAAATATACAAATAAAAGTTCTGCTTCCTAAACAATCTCAGTTAATATCTGCTAAAAACAAACAAAAAAGATAACAACCAAAATTCAACTTGCCTCCAACTTTTCTTCACTTTCTCTTTTGAATCATTTTCTTCTGTTTTTTTTTGGTGATACTTTGCTTCTGTATCATTCTCTGTTAAAGTATATTCTATCACAAATTTCATATTATGTTGACTGTCACCTGCTAAACTTCTTGAACTAGATTTTTTGTTTTTTGTTTTTTGAGACAGAGTCTCACTTTGTTGCCTAGGCTAGAGTGAGTGCCATGGCGTCAGCCTAGCTCACAGCAACCTCAAACTCCTGGCTCAAGCAATCCTCCTGCCTCAGCCTCCCGAGTAGCTGGGACTACAGGCATGCGCCACCATGCCCGGCTAATTTTTTCTATCTATATTAGTTGGCCAATTAATTTCTTTCTGTTTATAGTAGAGACGGGGTCTCGCTCTTGCTCAGTGTGGTTTCGAACTCCTGACCTCGAGCAATTCGCCCGCCTAGGCCTCCCAGAGTGCTAGGATTACAGGCGTGAGCCACCACGCCCAGCACTTGAACTAGATTTTTAATGCCTGTTGCACTGAGAGCCTCTTTTTTAAAATTTAAGTTCTAAAATGCTACTCAACTTTTCATTACTTAACTTTTTGTTTAAAGGCACATTTTTAAGCCTTGATCTTACATCCATATACAAAAGGGTAAAGTGTAAATAGAATTCTGATCGATAATCTGTTGCCCTTAGACTTGTCCATATAGTCTTTGGGAGGAAGAAGAAATAATGTTACTGAATTCCTTTGAGACTAGAATTTAAATGTTTCTAAGGATCTGTTGAAGTTCAGCTTTGCTTATTATTCAAAATCTATCGTATGGATTCAGCCTTTGGAATACTGAGTCATTGAATGCTTACTTCAGTAACATTTAGCATGCCTGAAACTCATGTGTGATCAGTGACTATGCCATTGTGTGGATAACCATCGTATCTTGTTGGAGTAGCAACATTAGTAACATGAACAAAGCATGTTGTTAATATCCATATATTCACTTTCAAACATTGTCAAGTACTCATGATGTAACTTTCAATGAAAATTTTCTTTAGCCAAAGAAAAACTATATAAAAGATATTTTAAAACTGCCCGGTCATGTATTTATACAAGATATTCAAATGATATAGTAGAGCTATTATATATTTAAAAGATTATTTGGATAAAAGAAAGGTGTAGTACTATGCTATATAGACATTGATATCAACAGTGCAGGATTTCTAACAAGTATTGGTTGCTTACAGAGAAAGTGATCCATTTGCTGTTGTTGTTTACTTGTTGGATAAGTAAATTTATTTCCTTCAAGGTTATAAGTCTTCTATGGTATATAGGATCTTCTATAAAAGTCTCCTTATTAATTCAACTCCAGGGAAGGTCTTGGAGTTGATATGCAAATAGTTAAAGCTGAGTTGCAGATGGAAAATCAGAGAGAATTTTATCTGGGAAGCAAGTTAGATTACATCATTACCATAATTTCTGTTCCATGGCTTAAGTATATATAAATATTATTAGCAGTGAAAATATAAGCAAAGACAACGATCTTAAGTCTGCTTTCCATATTCAGAAAGTTTTCTTTTCTTTTCTTTTTTTTTTTTTGAGACAGTCTCACTTTGTTGCCCAGGCTAGAGTGAGTGCCATGGCGTCAGCCTACCTCACAGCAACCTCAAACTCCTGGGCTCAAGCAGTACTTCTGCCTCAGCCTCCCGAGTAGCTGGGACTACAGACATGTGCCACCATGCCTGGCTAGTTTTGTTTTCTATATATATTAGTTGGCCAATTAATTTCTTTCTATTTATAGTAGAGACGGAGTTTGGCTCTTGCTCAGGCTGGTTTTGAACTCCTGACCTTGAGCAATCCGCCCGCCTGGGCCTCCCAGAGTGCTAGGATTACACACGAGATCCACTGCGCCCGGCCAAGAAAGTTTTCAATACTCAATGCTTTCAATATTTGGAAAACATTTCTTCAGTTAGTGAATGCACAGTTACATTTTGTGGGATTTCTTTGATAAAAAAGTGTATCATTACCATTGACCAAATCTTTTAAGTCCAGGAGTTGAAGAGGAGATTAATTTTTTACCTCAGTTACTATTAGAGAGATGGCAATATACTGTCAGCAATAACCATTATTGGCATAATTAGCCAAAAATAATACCTTATTCTTCAATTGCCCTGAGTTGAAAGTGAGTATATAATTTAGTTTCCTAAATGTTCATTCTGATGACCAACAGGGCAATCTTGCAACTCATAATGTTAAGAAATTATTGTTCCTTCAGTGCCCTATTCTAAAATGTTGGTTACTAAATTTTTAAATAATTATAAATTCTTAAAAAAATTGTATATTTACTATTATATCCCAGGAATTCAGTCTAGGATAGTGATATTTAGCTTCAGCTGAAAGTTAATTTTAACACTAAATTATTCACAAAGAATAGATATTTGCTATATATCTTTTATCTGGAAAGACCTCAGAACTTAAAATTTTGGGCTGCAAATATAAAGCAGCATTATTTCTGTATATAGCATTTGGCGAAACTAGTTGGTAAGGGGTAATCTACCTGACTTTTTGCTACTATAAATAATTCTGGATTGAATATCTCTTTATTTATTTTTTTTTTTGAGACAGAGTCTCACTTTGTTGCCTAGGCTAGAGTGAGTGCCATGGCGTCAGCCTAGCTCACAGCAACCTCAAACTCCTGGCTCAAGCAATCCTCCTGCCTCAGCCTCCCGAGTAGCTGGGACTACAGGCATGCGCCACCATGCCCGGCTAATTTTTTCTATCTATATTAGTTGGCCAATTAATTTCTTTCTGTTTATAGTAGAGACGGGGTCTCGCTCTTGCTCAGGCTGGTTTCGAACTCCTGACCTCGAGCAATCCGCCCACCTCGGCCTCCCAGAGAGCTAGGATTACAGGCGTGAGCCACCGCGCCCGGCCTGAATATCTTTTTATATATTCTTTTAGTTCATTTCTGATTTTTTTCACCTTGGTATAGATTTCAAAAATAGGAATTCCTGAGAAGTCAAAGAATCTGAGCATTTTTAAAACTTTTAATTTATATTGTCAAATTCCTTTGTAGAACTGCTGTATCAATTGGATTTACACCAGAAACATATGAGAGGGTCCATTTTATATCCGTTTGCCAGTGTTTAATGTTATTTTAAAATCTTTGCTAATTGATAGAAGAAACTCATATATTGTTGTTATAATTAACATGTCTATGATTACTAAGAAGTCAGACTTTTAAAAAAAATGTTTATTAGCCCTTCCCTTTTCTCTTTAATTAATTTTCTGTTTAATGATGCCTTATTCTAGAAGCTCAGTATTTTGTGATGAGCTTTTAATCTACTAAGGCTAATAAGCTGTCACATATCTAGCAAATACTATTTCTGAGTTCCTTTGATTTTTATTTATTAACTTTTTAGTATGCTAAAGTTTTAAAGTAAATAGTCGCATATTGCTAGTGTTTTCTTTTGTTATTTCTCCCACTGTTAAGTTTAGGAAGTTCTCCATTAAGAAGTCAGATAAACATTCCCTTTTTCCCTTCTGGATTTTAAAGGGTTAGTATGAAATATAATAATTATTTTACACTTAAATAATCCATTTGGAATTTATGTTGTTACATATCATCTACAGCCATAAATTGTGGGTTTTTCCCCAAATAGCAAACCAATTATTCTAATATCATTTGTTGATTAATCCTTTCCACTTCATTCTTAAGTGTATCCATTTCTTTTTATGAAGTTTAATGACAGCCGAGTTCTGTTATCCCTTACTAAGATGATACAGTGCACCATTTTGCATAATTGAAATGTAACTTAGGTTTCTGTGCTGCTTTTCAGATTGAATGTTGAAATTGAGACTCCCAGAAAGAGACCAAAAATCAGTTCTTCATCCGAAGGACCTACTAAACTCCAAGAAGCATCATATTCAAATGATCAAATTATTTCACAGAGTCCTTCTTCAAATGGAACTAAAAAAGATATAAGTAAATGTGTAGATCTTAAACTTAAAGATATTAAATTGACGAATGTTAGGAGTAAGTTTGACCATGGAATTAAAAACCTTAGCAGTTCTAAGATTGCCAACGATGTGAAACCTAAAGCTGAAAGCCAAGCAAATGAAAAGAAATGGCCTCATGTACTTGCTCAGAGGGAGAAGATGAAAGAACTCAAGAAAGAAAGGAACAATAAATTTAGAGACAGTTCTGAAAAATATGTCTTGGAGAAATTCAAGAGAAATCAATTTTCTCAGGAATATAATTCCAACAAAATAATTAAGGAACACTTTGAATCTAGAAGAAGGAAGATTAGTTTCAAAATCCCAATAAAATCCTGTGATTCCCTCCAGAGGCTTGTAGAGGAAAATGTCTTCAATTTAGATTTCAGCAAGTCAGAGACTAAGCAGGAAGGAAAAGAATGCCCGGAAAGCTCCCAGATTTCATTAAATTTAACTAGGCACAAAACACAACATTTGTTTTCAGATTCCACATATAAGCAGACTGTTCATGAGTGGAAAGGAAAATATCACCGTGAGCCTCAAGAAAGTAATGATTCAAATTCTAGTGAAAACCTAACGCAGGTAAGGTAGTACAAAATAAGAAACATAGGTTTTAGCAATGGGTTATATAGTCAGGTTTTAGTTTCTGTTACCAATAATAATCGTAGAGGGCTCACTCAAATTTACTCATGAAAATATGTGTTGGTTTCTTTATTTTACTTTCTTTAATTTCAACTTCTTTAGGAGGATATCTTAGCAGATATCAAAGATTCATAATAGAAGGGAATGTGTAAAATGTGGAAAGAAGCAATTATAGAGAGTCCTTTGAAAAAAGCACTTACAAGAGTTTCTTAGACTCTTCTCCAGCTACAGATACTGGAAAACACTGAGGGGTTAATATGCTGAATAGCTTATTCCTTTAACAGATTGTTTTTTTCAGTGCCACTATGTGCTAGGCACTGCAATAAAATAACATATACGAGACAACACAGTCTGTTTTCAGACACTTATTTATGTGAGAGACACAAGCAATTTCCTTAAATGTGGGTAAGTAAAGTACTTAATATGAGAATACAAAGCAGGGATTGACATAGCCTTGGTACACCATGGAGGGATTAGTTAAGAAAGGTTTACTGGAGGGGGTAACATTTAAACTGTGAATTAAAGAATGCATAAGAGTTACTCTGGTGTAAGTGAAGTGGGGTGGGATGGGAGAAGCAGGGATAGTTCAGGTAAAGGGGAATAACTACATGAGCAGAGATCCAGGCTAGAGAAGTTGGCATGTCTATTTTGCTTTTAAATTATGTAATAAGTTGGTATTTATGGACTACTTTGAGTATTTGATCTCTACAGCTTTGTTTATATGGCAAATAAAAGTGTTTACCTTCAAGGGAACTTTTAGAATTTTGGAACTTCAGAACTTTAGAACTTCAGAATTTTTGAAATTTAGAGACTGCTTATAAACAGGAGCAGTTAAGTTTACCTGTTTTGGGGTATAATGACTGTAGATTGCAGTAGTAAGTTATTTCTTATGAAAAATGAAGGGATTATAACTAAAGATGCTAGAAGAGCTTGAGAGTGAGTCTTTTTAGTTTAAGTGAACTTTAAGGGCCCAAAGAAGGAAAGAATTGAGATTTTTTTTTTTTTTTTTACTGCTTCCTTAAAGGAAAGAACTTCCAGTTATTCTTCTTGTGTTATAACCACTTCTCTGGAATAGAATGAGAGAAAGGAAGTTGCCAGTATGTTCAGTGATCATCATCATATCATTGCCTGGTGTTTCCTTTGTGCTGTACATCTAAGGAACAATATGCAAAATCTCTACAGTGCATCTTATACTTTCTTTTGGTCTCTATATAGAATTACCACAGAAACCAAAAGAGGTACATAACAAAAATATTAATCTGTAGGGGAAGCAATTTTTGCATGACTATTTCTAGTTATTGGAATTAAAACTCTTTATAAACTGTCCCTCTGATAGCAGAATTATCTGACTTAAAGTCATTTAGACAGAGGAGCAGCAAATAAATATTCTCCTTATCTTGAGTATATTTAGCATATTATTGACAGAAGATAATCATCTTAATACCATGTTTGTTGTTTTGTTTTACTCACTAATTCCTCAATAGGTAATTATTTTCCTAAATTAATGAGCGTACTTTACAAGGAAATAAGTGTATTTTCTGGTTTTAGTAATCCTGTTATGCTTTATAAAGAAAAAAATAACTCATTTTCTTAGGTTTATAGTCCTTTTATTTATTTATTTTTTAAGACTAGTCAAGTACAGTAGTGAGAAGGGGGAAAGTAGTAGAACAAGGAGTTTAATCTGCAACTGACTGAATAATCAAGTGAGATAAGTCACTACCTCCTGACCAGTCTTTATAGTCCTTTTATAGAGACCCCTCTCAGATTACAGTCCCCTCCATTGCAAATTCTTGTTCTAGAGATTTACGGTTTATAGGCCACATTTTAAAAACAGCATCCCATTTAATTCTTGCAAGGCTATGAAGTAGGACTTCATTAGCTTATCAAACATTAATTAAAGGCACCTATTATATCAGGCAATTTTCTAGGTATGAGGGATTTAGAGATAAATAAGATGATCTTTACCCTCAGAAAGTTCCCAGGATACATTTATTGCTGGAATATTATATACCCGTTAAAAAGATCTAATTTGATCTATAAAAGCAATCTCAAAGAGTTAACAAGGAAGTGCTAATGGATGAAAAAGCAAGGTGCTGGAGAATATAAAATGATTGCATTTTTGTAAAGTGACTAATGAACCCCAAATCCTTTAGATGTATTTGTGTATGTTTGTACACATTTATAAACTATATAAAATTATGTAAAGTGTGAAGAAAATAAAGAAGGGTCTATAGTAGGTGGTTAACAGGTTCCTGAGAGGAGTAGAGGTGCAGAGTGTTGTTGTTTTGAAGATAAGAAAAAAGGGGAAGAGAAAACCAAAGCCAAAAAAGGAAAAACAGTTCTTTTTCTAAAAGCATTCATCTTACAACGTTGTTTGTATATTTATGTGTTGTTATATATTTGTCTATGTATAATAATACATTTAAAATTTCAACAACAAAAAAAGATTCTGGTTCATAGAGTGATGGAAATAATAAGTGGCACTCCACACAGATCTTACTTAGTTCTTGAAGTTTGAGCTTCATTACAAAAAGAATTTCCATTCAATTGCTTTCATCTACTCTATAGTGTTAATAGCAAATCCAAAATTATAAATGTAATTTGGTATTATTTTAGAAAATAATTTTTATGGACAGTAATATGATACTCCATGAGAAAAAAATATATTCAGATAAATACTTATAAATAAATTCCCTTAATAATTTCTGTCTAATTCTAATAGTTTCTGTAGCATAATTTAAAATTAAACTATACTAGTTTTGATGTTCAAATAAGGATGTTATTGGTATTACTATTTAGTATCTGGCTGCACTTGGCAATTTTTAAAGTAATTTTGTTTTGAAAAGTAGTAATAAAGTGTATGTGTACCTAGGAACAAGAAGTTTCCAGGGAGGCAGATCAGTAAACAAATATATTAATAATTGTACTATACTGAAGTAAATATCAGAGCCCTAAGAATTGGATGTAGTGTCAGTATCAATCTCTGGTGAGTTAAGGAAGGTCTCACTAAGGTGGAGATACTTAAGCTTCATCTTGAAGGACATGTAGGGTAAGGAACAGAAGTGCTATCTAGCCCCAGGGTAAAAGGACAGTACGTGTAATGGGACAGAGTTTGGAATTCCATGGCAGGGAGATACATGGGCACATAGGTGGTTCAGTATGACTAGAATTGAGATGTACAGAGAATCTATAGAAGAGGAAGTTGGAGTGGAAGCCAAGGTCCAGACAATGGATGATTTTATATCTAATGAGAAAGATGGCATTTTATCTTGTATCTTATAGATGGAAGAGAGCCACTGAACCCTAATTAGGAAAGCAGTATAACTGAGTTTTCATTTAGAATCACTTTGGTAGATAAAACCATTATTACCCTTATTATTGATGTTCCCTTTTGTCATCCCCAGGAAAGGCTTTATCCCAGTCCATGTATTTAATACAATATGGTAGGAGAAGGCAAGCAGTTAAATGCTTTTATTTAACTGTAATAGGGATGGGGTTTTCACGGACAATTGACATGAACTTTTCTGGATTATTGGGTGATAGAAATTCATTGAAGTCATTGGAAGTGGCCTGTCGTCAAAGAGAACAGAGGGTAATAGTGACCTAAGGAAGAGAATAAAGATACTTAGAATGTCAGAAGCTACAGGAATTTCTGACTTTCTTGGCACTTCTTGGTTTAGAAGAAGTTTAAAGATCTGGTAAGAAGTAAAGTCAAATGGAGAAGGGATTAAAAATTCCAGGGTCATGGAATAGTAAAGCTAATTTAATGGGCCTATGTATATGATGTGTCTGGTGTTATACCATGGGAAGTTTGATGTTGGAAAGTTAGGGTGGAAGCTGACTTCCCAGTAAAGCATTTCTACATATGATGTGCTTGTTCAAAGAGGGCCTGTAGTTTATACCATAACTAGCTTCCTGTAAAATATATGAGAGTTTGGAGTTATCTTGGAGACTTCTTAAAAGAAAATTTGGTTCAGAAGATTTGGTGCTGAGCTTTTTGTCACGTCTATGTAGGGTCAGGTAGGTCCCATCCACTCAGCAAAAGTGCCAGTGGAAAGTTGGAATTGATAGATTTTCAATCTCTGTTAGGAGGCAAAAAATAAAACACAAACCTCCGGTGTTCCAACAACATAAAATACAACCATGCGTTTTCCAGCTTTCCCCCCTTAGCCTTATTATAATCCTCAAGTTCCCTTTGTTGTTTTGTCATGTCAGTTTTAGAAGTGACTCAGTTACTCCTGAATGAAAATTTTTCACCACTGAAGGCCAGCTTGTTTACCTTTGCCATGGTTCTATTTCTTAGGGTGGCATATAGTTTTATTCTTAGAATATGAGTATTTTTAGGAATATATATGTGAATAAGTAAACTTAAAGAATTTCTACTACATTTCATGACTTGATAGAATGGTGCTTTTCTATTCTAGAGGCATTTTGTCATCTGTATACAGTTTTGCCCATCAGGAGCCATTTGGCAATATCTGAGACATTTTTGATTGGGGCAGATGGGTAGTCCTACTGACATCTGGTAGACAGAGGTCAGGGATCCTGCTAAATATCCTACAATGCATGACACAGTCCCTAAAGCAAAGAATTATCTGACCCCAAATGTTAATAGTGCCAATTTTGGAAAATCCTACTCTAGGTATATTTGTTAACTAATAAAAATTATTTTCATTTCAGAGTTTTGAAGCACCATGTTCTTCAGGGGCATCTGAAAATATTCAAGATACAGATCAAGAGGTTACTAATATACTTATTTGCTTTGAATATTTGAAATGAAATTAAGTCAAATAGTTCCTACTTTTAATAAAAAAAGACTATAAAACCCTGGTAATATAAAAATAACAATAATTTCTCTGTTTAAGTCAATATATTAATATATGTTTTATGAAATAATCAAAAACTATTTGAAACAAGTATTTATACTTACTCAATTACCTTTTTACCTATGTTTCTAATAAACTAATCTACTTTGAACAAAGAGCACAGAGGCTATAGCCCACAAGTTATCTCAATTTTGATTTAATGTTATCACACTTTGGCGTGTTTTTTATGCCTAGGGTTGCCAAAATGCAGTAGGACATTAACATGTTTTTACCTCATTTTTCTGATTAGCAATAAGATGAAAATGTTATTCAATGAAAATGAGAGTTGTATGGGTATTTTATCTTTTCGTAGCTTCATTTCCCAGCTAGAATCTCCTGAATGATTTTCATAGAATTTTATGTTCCTTGGTCCTAAATTAAGACTAGATTCATAGAACACTTTATATTTTCCAACTTAAAGGAGACTTTTAAACTATATTAATTAGGTTTTATTTGTAACAGTTATATTTTTCTATCTTGTGGGTCAGTGTTTCTTGATAGATGAAAGATTTCCCCCTCTCCTCTGAAAGTAGGTTATATTTTCATTTCTTGGCATCAAAATACATCAGGGAAGTATTTTCCCTGAAGTGAAAAGGATCTTAAGATTTAGATTTCAATTTATGATGCTTCATAAACAATCTCAGAAATCTCAAGAAGAATGCTCATTGTCAAGATAAAAAAAATTTGACTCCTAAAGTACTTTGCAGTGAGAATCAGAATGAGAATAAAGTTATTTTCATGTCTTTGTGTTTGGCTTTGTACAAGGAGCTTCACATAGCTTATTTCATTTAATCTTCACAAAAATCCTAAAGGAAATAGATTTTTAATATTCCTGTATGAACAAGCTGAGACCCAAAGTTGTTAGATAATTTGTTTGCCTAAGATCACAGAGGTAATAAGAGAACTGTTTTAAAAACCATGTGTATGTTTATAAATGTGTATTCTCTTACTATGCTGCCTCCATATTTTTATACAATTTTTCTTTCCACTAGCCACCTCACGTGGATTAATTAAGAATTAATTGCTTTCTACTTAATCTGCACAGTAGATAAAATATTTCACTGGGGTCTTTTACAATTTAGATGCAGATAGTAGAAGAGCTTCATGCTGCACGTTTGGGAAAAACTTTGGATTTACCTGTGGTTCCGCCTTCTGGGGAGTTAATGAGTATGGAAATTGACTTGGTGGAAGATGATGCACATTCTTCTGCTGGTATACCCTATATGTTAATGTTTACAATCTTCTATGCTTTCCTAAGAATTAGTATGCCAACATTTAAAAATAATATTTAGATAAAAAATGTTAAAATTTGCTCATTTTTTAAAACGATAATCGTATTTTTTTTTTGGCTACAGGAATCAGATTTAATATTTATCTTATTTTTATATATCTCACATTAGGCAGTTAGACATATTTTACCTTTCTCTTTTTGTCAAGAGGCAGCAATCAGAGTTGTGAGTTATCTTTTATTTTTGCTCTTAATTATACCTTAATAATTTCAGCTGTGTAAAGCACTGATCAGAAATAATGCAGATTGCTTGAAGGTATTATTATATTCATGGATTTCTTGTTCATATATTAATAGTAACATTTTGATAATGTTTTACTACTGGGAGAAGATAATGATAGAGAGAACCTTAATCTATTAGTATACTATTTTGAATTCCATTTATAATGATAGTAATCATACCTTACACTCACATTGAATTTTCTAATTTACCAAGTGTTTTATTGTGCATTAACTACCATAGATGAAGGACAGGACTTAGAAACATACTTACTGCCTGGACAAGTCAGTTTATGATTTAAAATCCACCTATAAGCAATTTATAATATTTACTGGTGAATAATTAAACATTGATTAGTTTGTCTGAAGAACTGGAGTAAAATTGGAATAAGAATGCTATCAAAAACATTCTCCTGGGCTGATTCTTCACAGTCTTAGCCTCAAGTCTTCCTGTGTATGTCTGCTTTGCCAGACCTTACCTTCTTTGCCCACTTGTATCTAGATGAGTCCCTACCCCACACCCACCCAAAACAGTGTTTGCAGACCATTAAGTGACTGGGGAGAAATTTACTTGGCAACAAAGAGCTGGGCCAGATAGCTATTAGCTTGAGAGTCTAGTCAACTGTGTGATTCTCTGATACAGTTAAGTTTACAAAACACAGTTGGGTTTTAAATTTAATTGAATTTTTAATGCTTCTATGATATCAGTTTTAGGCCTTATATAAGTCTATAATCAAGTGTCATGGAATCTTAACTTTGCTCTTTTTCACTAGCAGATACTACAGACAAAAAGCTTCTAATTGTTATTGACACAAACATTCTGATGAATCATCTCAAATTTGTTAGAATTTTGAAGACAACAGAAATACCAGGTATTTATAAATCATATTTATAGATTCTGATTTTCTTTCTTGAGTTGATATTTTATATTAATAGTGATGCAAAGTTTTTTTTCTTATGAACACATCTCCATTTGGATATGCTATTGAGTATATTTATATATTAATATATATATTAACCATAATCAATTTAAGTTTAAAAAAGAGCCTTCACAGGCTAACCTAGCAATCCAGATTCCCTCTTTTTTGATTTCTGGCAATATTTATTTTTTTTAACATTCTTTTGACACCCTCTTTTTAATTTCTATTTTTTGTGTATTGTCTCTCCATTTAAAAAATAATTGTGAATTCTTAAAGGTAGGGATTATGTACTTTAAAATGTTCACTTCTACAGCAGTTTGATTTGTAGCTCAATAAATGTTTGTTGAATTCTAAGAAATCTTTTTATGTTTTAGGTTTTGACAAACTTGTATTAATAATTCCCTGGGTTGTTATGCAAGAGCTAGATCGTATGAAGGCAGGAAAACTACTAAAACATGCTCAGCACAAAGCCATACCTGCAGTTTATTTCATCAGTGACAGTCTCAAAAATAAAGATAGAAAGCTATGGGGTCAATCAATACAACTTGCATCTCAAAAGCTTTGTAAGTATTGTTCTTTCATTGGTGCTTTCTGATTAAAACTTGTTTGGGGGCTGACACATTAGTGCAAAATTTATAAAACATTTGTAGCCATTGGAATGTGAAATGGAAAGGGCATTTTGATGGTTTGTGGCTTAGTTTAGGATGGTTTGTGGTTTAGTTTAGGAGTCTTCGATTTTTGTTTTTCTGCTTCTCCTAGACTTTCTCCTAGACTTTTTGTGTTTCACAGATAGTGACTGCATAGTCTGTGTGCATCCTTGTCTATATTACAGAACCTTGGATTTCTTTCTCTAAATACCATTGTTGAATGATGAGGCCAGTAAGTGATCTATGCTTCTGTTCCATCACTGCATATAGTTAGTATACTGTGGAGACAGATGTTATTTTCCTGTGATTTGTCAGAATCTGTAATAAACATGTATTTTTATATAAAGGTCAATTTGTTTCTTTCCAACTCAGAATTACTTATATATGTAGATTTACATTATTTTAAATATCATGGATTTATACTGTCCACTGTACCTATATTCATAAGATTTGAAAGAAGTCACCTTAAAATGAATCTAATCATGGTATTACCTATGAGAAGACTTTTGGCATAGCTGTTTAGTTTTAAATGTTTGAAGAAAAAGGGCCTTCACCATTCATTTATTCATTACCTTAACAAATATTTATTCTTAGTATATTCCAGATATAATGCTTATGCATTTTGAGTGCAATTAGTCCATGTTGAATAGCCTTACTTGACTATAATTTTAGCTTTGTCCTTCATTATTTTTAAAATTACATTTATTTTATATAGTATTTAATATAATGAGAGGAGCATAGGATTTGAAAGCTGATTGACCTGGATTTATAACCTAACCTGGGGAAAGTTAAAGGTGACGAAACTATGAATGGGAGGAGATAAACCTCCATGTCATAAAATGGTTGTAAAGACTGATTGAGTTAATGTATTAAACTACTTAATGCTTATGATTGAGAATAGGAAAAAATTCTGTTGTGTCATCATTATCTGAAAAGCTTATATAGATTGTTAAGAAACAGTCTTTACTTGTTAAGATTGTTAAGAAAAACTAATCTATCACTTTTTTGTGTGTGATATCTTTTTATCACTTACAAATTTAGAAAGTTTATTTTCCTACATCTGGTAGGAACATCACAGTGCTACACTCTTTTGGGAATATGAATTGATAACTTTTTAGGAGACAGTATTTAGCAGTGTGCTTTAAGGAACCTAAACGTATAATTCTTTTTCTAGAAAGGTATCCTAAAGAATAGTTAAAGATGCTCATAGTGATTTGTATAAATAATATTTGTCATAGCATTATTTATACAGCAAAAAATTTGGAAACAACCTGTTTAACAATTAGAGACATTTGTTCCATATTTTTATATTTTCTTTCGTTATATTTTTGTTGTTTCATTTATTTATCAAATATTTGTGCCAGGTACTGTTCTAATTGTTGGGACTGTAGCAGTGAATAAGGAAGATAAATCTTGTGCTGTTGAGGAGGTTAAATTCTATCAGATATTAAAAAATCTTAACTATAATTTATATAGAATATATTTTTGCATTGTGTGTGAGTAAAGGTCATTGCTATTGGAGTGCCATTTAAGATAACTCTTATGTAATGGATATATAGTATTTTTTAAGCACTTACTATTGCCATATACTTGGCTAAGTCCTTGATATCTGTTCACATTTAATCCTCATGGTTAAGCACTTTGTCCAAGAATACACACCTAGTAAGTGGGAAAGCAAGTGTGATTCAAAATCACACTGGTCTGTTCACTTTTGAACAGTACCTGTGCTGGTGCTCAGAAATGTTTGTTGAATGACTAAATATTTCATCAATATTCTTTCAGTTTTAGGTATATTTTCTAGCTCTGTGTATCTTAGAAAAATGATACTGTGGTACTATATATTTTTTAAAAAATTAGGCCGGGCGTGGTGGCTCACGCCTGTAATCCTAGCACTTTGGGAGGCCGAGGCGGGCGGATTGCTCAAGGTCAGGAGTTCGAAACCAGCCTGAGCGAGACCCTGTCTCTACCAAAAATAGAAATAAATTAATTGACCAGCTAAAAATATATATACAAAAAATTAGCCGGGCATGGTGGCACATGCCTGTAGTCCCAGCTACTCGGGAGGCTGAGGCAGTAGGATCGCTGAGCCCCGGAGATTGAGGTTGCTGTGAGCCAGGCTGATGCCACGGCACTCACTCTAGCCTGGGCAACAAAGTGAGACTCTGTCTCAAAAAAAAAAAAAAAAAAAAAAATGAGCTATTAGCTCCTGATAATATCAGATAATATTGAACTTTGATACCTTTAAAGCAGTGTGCTATTAACGTTTAAACCTCCTTTTGTCTGCTGAATTGGATTATTTAAAGTTAATGATTTTGCGTTGCCTATTTTGCATTATTAGTGGCATTTACTCTCTGAGCTTAGAGAAGGAAATTTGGCTGCTGTGATTTCAGTCTGTCTGGCTCACTGGTTGTCTTATTAAGGAATTTAATCACATCTCCCTCAGGCTCATCATGCCCTGAGATACTTGAGCTCTTTCTAGATTTCCCTACTAGATTATGAACTGCTAAAGAGTTTGTCTAAGTGAAGTCTCCTAAAAATGGAAAAATAAGCACCACATGTACTCACCAGCAAATTGGTATTAACTGATCAACACCTAGTGGACATACAGGAATAACATTTATCGGACGTTTGGGCGTCGGGCGGATGGGAGGGGGAAGGAGGGGATGGGCATATACATACATAATGAGTGGAATGTACACCATCTGGGGGATGGACACGCTTGAAGCTCTGACTCCGGGGCGGGGGAGGGGAAGGCAACACATGTAACCCAAACATTTGTACCCCCATAATATGCTGAAATAAAAAAAAAAGTTTTTCTTTGCATATCTAGCTACTTAGCACAGGGACCTGACACAGATTAAGCCCTATATAAATATTTATTGCAGGAATGTGAATGAGTTTTCTGATTTGAATGATTAGAGGAGTAAGTAATAAAGGCTATAAGTTGAGAGAAAAAAGTTTTTAAACTGAGAACAAGGTTTAAGCCCATTGGCTAGTATGTCTTTAATTCTAGTGTATAAGAGACTCCCCAAGAGCTTAAATCAGTGTCTGGGTCTAGGCTTCAAAGATTCTTACCCAGAAATAGATCTAGGTTGTGGTCCTGCATTCTGAGGGTTCTGAGACAGGCAGTGGAAGGACCTATGAGAAACATTGTCTTTGGTCCTATTTTTACACATTGCATTATTTCCACAAACACTGAATTTTTCCTACATCTTTTAAGGGATGGAGAATGCCAGAGGACACCCTGTCAGCAAATGAATAATGGGTTAGAAGTTACTTTTTTGTTGGCCAGGCACAATGGCTCATACCTGTAATCTCAGCACTTTGGGAAGCTAAGGCAGGAGGATCCCTTGAGCCTAGGAGTTTGAGGTTGCAGTGAGTGATAATGACCCCACTGTACTCTACTCTGGGCAACAGAGTGAGACCCTGACTCAAAAAGAAATTACTTTTTGTGTTCTCTGCTTAAGCTCCATATTTCCTTCTCCTGTACTAAAGGTACTGCTTTAGAGACTAAGGAAAAGTGGACGCAAGAAACTGGTTCTGTTGCTGGTAGAGCAATTGCCCATTAGTTCATAGACGTCATATGCTGACAGAATTTTAAGCATGATGTTTTTATGTAATTTACTTATAATCTGTATGTGACTGAATTGATATTAGAATTTGTAGTTTTTAGTTTCTAGTATGACATTTAGCCTACTAAATTTCTTTCCTTTGAGTTTTCTGATAGCCATTTTTTAGTTCATTTTAGTAGTAAATTAACCAACCACTTTATAAAGTCCACAACTATATGCTATGTGAATTCTAGACTCAGAGTTTTCAAGACATTGTTTTGCTGTCTTATCTAATAGAGTTTTTTTTTTTTTAGAGCAGTTTTAGGTTCACAACAAAGTTAAAGAAAAGGTGCATAGATTACCCGTATACACCCTACCCCTACACAGGCATAGCTTCCCGATTAGCAACATCCCACACCAGGGTGGTACATTTGTTACAACTGGTGAACCTACATTGACATGTCATTATCACCCAGAGTCTATAGTTTAAATTAAGGTTCACTCTTGGTGTACATTCTCTGGGGGTTTGGACAAATGACCTTTATCTACCATCATAGTGTCAGAAAGAGTAGTTTCAGTGCCCTGAAACTTTTAAATGGTTTTGATTTGTAAATACAGCCTAGATTATTCATGTGACACTAAGATTTCTAGTGCGCTTATTGACAGATGCTTTTGCTAAATTTGCAGATGGATTGAGTGATGAAAACAATGATGATCGAGTATTAAAATGCTGTCTTCAGCACCAGGAATTATTCCCTTGTTCTCTTGTTATTCTGTGCACGTAAGTTTCATAGGCATTTTACTCTTCCTTTTAAGAATAACTGTACCAAAGAATTTTTAAAAATCATACTGTTGTGTCCACCATACTAAGTATCAAAAACATACATAATTTAAAAATCTGCCAGTAAACATACTCAGTTGTATCTGATAGTCTTATAATGTGTGAGCTTTAGAGGAATGAGATCTCAAATAGATGAAGTTTCATTTCAATTTAATTCATATACTGTTCAGAAAACTTTTGAAAAAGAATGGTAAGTCGATTTAACATCCCCCTAAAATAGTTCAAAAATTAAAATATGGCAGAATGTTTTGGTCATGACACAAGAAGATTATTTGTGAGGTGAGGGTAGTTTATGTTGCATTTGTATTTTGGGTGCTTGTTGTATAATTAGACTGCCTGGTTTGGGGTCCTGAATCTACCACTCATCAGCTTTGTGACCCTGGACAAATTGGTTTACTTAGATTCCTCATGTATAATAAACAGGAGGAATAATAATACCTGCCTCATGAGGTTATTGTATTTAATCAAATAATGTATGTAAAGGACTTAGAATAGTGCCCAGTATATCTCAATAAGAGTTTTTCCCTCCTTCCTCCTATTTCTTACCCTCCTCACTAATATTTTCATAACATAGTTCTAAATTAAAATGAATGTAATGCTAAGCAAAATTGTATTCATCATGTGTGAAAAAAGACTCTGAAAGGACAGAACAATTTTAATTTGTAGTTTTAGTATGAATCTTATTCACTGCAAAATGGTTTCATGATCATGCTAAAATTCTCTCTGTGAAATAGTTATTATAGAAATCAATAGCCCTAAGATTTTTCTTGTAAGCGGGCTTGGTCAATGTTATTTTTATAACCAATGTTATAGAGATAGTGTTATTTTTGTTAGTAAAAGATATATTGGAGATTTCTATCTATAGATTTTAAATTATATTTTGATCTAGGACATACTACCCTTAGAGTTTGTTGAAGGCTGAAATAGAATTACTAATATGTAAACCATTTTGAATTTGAGGTAAATTAAATTTGAGAAATAGTCTTCATTATGTAATTGTTATTTTTTTTAGTTCAGCTTAGAATGGAAATTAAATTCATAAGAATTTATTGATTATCCATTATTTACGTAGTCACTGTTTTGAGATTAACAGACATAACAGTTTTTAGTGATTGAAAATTTGTAGCTAAACCTTACTTTTAATTCTAGTATAGTCATGTTAATATATCTGCTGAGATCACCAGACTTTGACTAGATCCCATGTGTGTTGAGTTGCCATGTGGTTTATCTTATAAAAAATATTTTTTCCTCCTAACCCCAACCTTAGGGATGACAGAAATTTAAGAAACAAAGGCCTCATAAGTGGTGTGAAGTCACTCAGTAAAGAAGAATTGAGTGCAGAGTTATTAAACTTATCTCTGAACACAGATGTATGTCATCAGCCTTGTATTTCTAAGCAACAATTGAATGCAGGTAGTATTCTTACTGTAAATAATTAGAACTATATCTTATTTTATGCACTAAGATTATTTATAACATTGGAATTAATAATACAGTTTCATCTTGTACACATAAAATAACATCAAGGTTGGAATATTTGCTGGCATGAAAATTGTGGAAATAAGTGAAAATTATAATAGTAATCCAAAAGAAAACATAATTAACATTTTTGCATTTTACATATGCTTTTACAAATTGATTTGTTTTTTGTCTGTACACTCACATTTTTACATATTTATAATCACCATGTGCATGTTGATTTGTACCTTGCAGAGTATCCCTTTGAAATTAATAGTTGCTGTGGGAAACATTCATTTGAAGTAAAGAGAATTTTAAAAAATTAGCTTCATATTTATAACCTATTAATACAGTAAGAACTCAGCTAATAATAGAGAAACTTACAGGACTCTAGTAATAGTCTTCTTTTTTGAAATTTTAAACTAATAATTCAGGAAGGTAAAGGCAATACTGCTATTTCATCTCTTTTTTTTCCCCAGAATAATCTGGCGATTAATCGGTTGATATTTGATGGACTATTATATTAATATTAAATCTGACATTACTTATAAATACATCCTACCTTTTCCCTCTGTGGGTAAAATAATATTTGAATTCTCTAATATTGTATGTGGGTTTGATTAATATATACAATTGTATAAATATTCATATATACACATATGCTACTTATTTATCCTTTTTAGAAACAATATATCTTTTGTCATAATATTCAAAGTGGTGTTTAGATAAAGAGTAATAGCGTATTCTAGTTTATAGTTTTTCGGGGATATTGTGCTTTAAGTTTGGTCTTATATTATTGTCATTTTAAATTCTTAGTTTGTATTTGTAGAGATAAGCCATTTAATAGTTTGAATTTTGCCATAAGAAAATGACAGTTGTTTTCAGGTATCTAAACAGGAATGTTAATGAAATGATGTCACTGAAAATAATAAAAGTTTCATTCAAAAGAGGAGGTTAAGCTGAAAATTTTGGTCCTGTCAAAACAATTTATTGATGTGGGCTGAGTTTAGAAAAATATTCTATTTTTGGGGAAAAAAACCCCATTTTGATCCATAATTCTTGGTTTTCTGTTATAAATAAATCAAACACAATCTTGTAATTCTTTTTTTTTATAATTATAGTTAAAATATCACACATTTCTTACATTTTTATTTGAGTAAAAATAGTTGCCTTTTTGTCAAAGAGATAAAGCATTTGATAACTTAATATTTTATATTGCATCTAAAACAACTATCGTAGAGATAATGTTTCTAAATACTGTTTTGAAAATTAAGTATTGGTTTATTTTCTAGATAATTCAAATGCTAATTATATACATAAATTGTTTATGGCCAAACACTAATTTTATATATATATATAAAATATTTATTTATTAGTGCCCTAAATAAAGTCTATAACTATTTGTTTTAAAGAAGCAACACTCTTGGGAGAGAGCTATGAGAAAGAATCTACAAATTCTGGACTGTCCATTCTACTTGAAGGCATCATATCTGATCTTGAAAAATCTCTTGGAACAGCTCTATCTTCAATATTAGAAACAGAAATGAAAATTGCTTTTGGAAACCTCTGGATGGAGGTGATTAGTTCATCTCTGTTAGTTGAAAAATTTTTTTATTGCTAGAGATTTGTTATTTTAAGAAATGTTGTTTGTATGAAATTCATGAGCTTCTTTGTAGTAATTTATATTATATTAAATTTTTCTTCAAGTTTTGAAATGACTTTTTAACAGTTAAATGATGGATATTTCTTTTTTTTTATTTTTTTATTTTCTTTTTTTTTCTTAAGCATGTGGTTGAGGAGGGATATTTCTTAAAGGTTAGAAATATATGTTATTCATTTTTTCAGTCAACAAATATTTATTGTGCATATACTATATGTCAGACATGCTGCCCCCATGGTACTTAAATTGAATTTAGAAAAACTTCTCTTATTTAATTTGATTTGTATCAAAATGTCTAATATAAGGAATCCCCTTGGCACTATGTATTCAGAAAAAGAAATGTATATTTTGACTTGTGCCAAGTAAATGTAAAAATTGGAGTAAAAATTGATCATATTATTAATAGAAGATATTTTGAATTTTCTTTAGATTTATATCTTTTCTGCAGTCAGTAAAGCACCATATTTAATAATAGTGATCTTAAAAGTTCTTTTTAATGTTTGTTTGCTGTTTACATTTATAGCTAGGAGAAACATTATTCCCCATCAATTGTACCTTGTGTCTATTCTAGCTATTCAGTGAGATTCTACTATTTGCCAATATGGTGTATTTGCTACTTAATTACATTATTAAGTAATAATAATGTAGTGTTGAGTCAAAATGATGAACAATTATCAAAAGATACTAGGAAGGTTAGTATTTCATAGTAGATAAGGAAAGTCATTGCAAATAAATGATTCAGAAAAAGTAAGTGTTGACATCTTACAGAACTAAATGATTTATCTTCATAAAGTTCTTTGCAAGAGTATAGCAAGTGGCAATTATATTTAACATCTTTTTTCTATATAGGTTTTCCCACAGTTATATGAAATAATTAGAACAGCGGTTCCCAACCTTTTTGGCACCAGGGACCGGTTTCATGGAAGACAATTTTTCTACAGACCTGGGGGAGGGGGGCTGGTTTCGGGACGATTCAAGCACATTACATTTCTTGTGCAGTCAAACCTTTCTGCCAGTGATAATGTGTATTTGCAGCTGTTTGCCATGCTAGCATCACCACCTCAGCTCCACCTCAGATCATCAGGCATTAGATTCTCATAAGGAGTGCGCAACTTAGATCCCTCACATGTGCAGTTTACAGTAGGGTTCGTGCTCCTATGAGAATCTAATGCCACCACTGATCTGACAGGAAGTGGAGTTCAGGCGGTGATGTGAGTGATGGAGAGGAGCTGTAAACACAGAGGAAGCTTCCATTCCTCTACCAGCACCCCTCACCTCCTGCTCTGTGGCCACTGACCAGTACCAGTCCATAGCCAGGGGTTGGGACTACAGAATTAGATTAATTTTCTCATAGAAATGCCTGTGTTGAAGAGTAGATTGAAGATATTTGCTGATTAAAACTATACTTTCTCTGATTAAAACTATGCTTTTTGCATATATAGTTTCTGAAACTATAAAGATTAATACCTAATATGGATTTTACCAAAACAATTTGTGATGGAATTAGCATTAAGATTTTGATTGACTTTTGATAATTAAGATTATAATATAATATAATTATAATCATAATTAAGATTATGATTGACTTTTAATAAAGCATCTTTTAATTTAAAACAAATTCAACTAATTTTGCCCAGAAATATATGTAGTAATTCCTGAATAGGTACTTTTAAAAAATAGGAATAATAAATCCATAGGTGCTAATCTTTTCTAAATATTCTTTAGATGCTGTACTTGAAACCACCATGGACTCTCATACATTTATTACAGTGCTTTAAAAAACATTGGTTGGCTGTATTTGGATTAGTTATGGAAAAGAACTTGCTTTTAACTATTGAGAGCCTATACGAAAATCTCCATAAAGGTATGAATCTTTTACTTTTCTCTTTAGCAGTGTTGTATTAAAGTATTGAGTGGATATATTTCATGTGATGTGAAGATGAATTAATAAAAAATTTGTCAGTTGGTTCCTAATTATTTATGTTCTAATTTTTAAAGAGAATTTGTGGCAGCTGGGTGAATGAATGCTGCTCATAGAGCTTGTGACTATAAATTGTATCAATGTTGATATTCTTGGATATTGTGATATATTATTTTTAACGATGTTTACTTTGAAAACTTTTAAAACTATGTTTGTCTCTTCAGATATGCAAATAGAATTAGATTTTTTTCATTTATCACTGTTCAACACACAAACTTTGAGCACATTTTATGTCCTAATTTCCAAAATAGCATATAAAAATTTTTGTCTAAATTATATGGATAAGGAATAGGAAACATTTGGCTTTCATGCACAGTGAATTTTAGAACTGGAAGAGACCACAGTGAACCAGCCACTTATTTGGTAGTTTTTAAACTATGTTGAACAGAATTTTAGGTTTCTTGAAAAGCCTCTGCTGCCACAGATTGGGGATGGAAAGATCGATGGGGTCCCTGATATTGCATAGTGAAGCCTTTGGCTCTCCACCCAACTTTGGCCAGAGCAGCTTCTTAAAGATTTGTTTATATATGGAGATTCCGCGTAAGACTTGAAAAAGAGTTTCTTTGCTAAGAAGAAAAAATGCAGAGAAGAACTCATCTAATGTTAGTAAAGTCTATGTTTTATGATCAAGGAAATAGCTCTGAGATGATAAGTGACTTGTCGAAAGTCAAACAGCTAGATTTATCTTGCTATATACCTTTAAAAGGCAAAGTATAACTGTTGTTTGAAGCTCAGTTGGTTCTTGACTTTTTTCAAACTCCTCACATAAAGTGATCTGTTTATTGTTTTACATATTAGTTCTGTGTAGTCTGTTTCTAAAAAACTACTGTGGTAGCTTATAACAAATAACCTGAGTACAAGAGGGCCATTATATTAGATTTAAAGGCACAAAATCCAGATAATAAGTAATAAGATGATATACCATAAAATATATGTGGACAATTATTGCAACACTTGAGCACAGATTTTAACGCTAAGCTTCCTGAAGGCTAAGAGAAAAAAGGCATATTTTATGATAGGTATACCTCATTCTCTGTCTTTCCCCTGAAGTGTAAACTCTTTAAAAATGAGTTGTTCTCATAGGAGAAAGTAGAATAGTGGTTACCAGAGGATGGTGAAGGGAGGGATGGAGAGGATCGAGAGATGTTGGTCAATGGGTGCAAAGCTACGGTTAGGTAGGAGAAATAAGTTCTGGTATACTATTGCATAGTAAGATGACTAGAGTTGACAATTATGTATTACATATTTCAAAATATCTGGAAGAGAGATTTTTGAATATTCTTATCACAACGAAATGATAAATGTTTAAGGTAATGGATGTGCTAATCATATGATTTAATCATTATACAACTTAATACATGTATTGAAACATCATAATGCACTCCATAAATATGTACAATTATTATGTATCAATCATAAATAAAATAAAATAAAATAAATTAACAAAAATTCCTTCTAGGGAATTTAAAGCACCTAGTCAGTCCCTTACATCCTATCCATGGTAATTGTTAGATAAATATCTATTTCTAAAAGTTACCAATTTTTTAAAGAAATGTATTTTCCCAGCACTTCCTCTAATTGTAGAAGTTATTTATTAAGGGTATGATTATATAAGAGACATGGAACAACATATTGGATATATCTTTAAAGTAATTTTATAAAACATGTAGAAACATTTTTCACATCTTTTACTAGGGGCATAATTTAGTTGATTCTTTTAAAAGAGAAACTCCATAAACTATGTGTGATCTTGAACAAGGTTAGTTTAAAAAAATGGGGTATCTAGTTGCCATCTTCCATTTATTTGTTTTTCCAGTGATGAAGAGTTGTGTTCTTACACACAGCTGAGAGGTGATAGGTGGCAGCTCTAACTAGCAATAGGGAGGGAAGTGAAGGTGTGCTAACTCTACCTTCTGCTAACACATCATTTTTGCAATCATTGTGTGTGTAGTTTATTGCCCTTTGATCTAGAATAATTTGATGCCTAATGTTTAGTGACTTACGGAGAATGTGTAATGGGATTATATTAATAAAAAGTACCTCTAAGGTAATTTTGAATTAGAAAAATCATAGTTTGTGATTTTATTTACTATTTTTTAATAGTATCCTCAGCTGTTGAATTACATGTGTTTAACTACAGTATGCCAAACATGTATCCTTAGATCAATTCCTAGAAAATCGTGTGAAAAATGACTCATAATTTTTTGACTTTGTTATCCATATTAACTTTAATTATTGCCCTTTATAAGCATCAAACTATTATATCTATGTAAGTTTCTTTTTTTGGTTATGTCTGTGTACTGATTTCATCATTGTTATTTTCCCTTTCCCCATAATCTTAGTAAAGAATTTTTGTAAGTCAGAAATCAAATGATGAATTCTAGGATATAAGCCCTACTAGACATACCCTACATTGGTGAAGCACCCTTAAAAGAAATGGTGTCCTATTATATCTTCCTCGGGAGATTTACTAGGTTCATGAAATCCATAGTCTATCCTGTGTACAGCATCTCGTATCTCTCATCTCTCTTTTGCCACAGGATTTTAAACTTTGACTTTTAAAAGAACTAAAAATATTCCTGCAAGGAATACTGGCTTTTTTTGGTGGTGGTGGGAGGGGGGGTGTGCAGTGGTAAAGGGAAAGGCAGATTGGCTTGGCTATAACCATCACATCAGATTAGAGTTTCTGAATATTGTGGAATTAATTATTAAAACATACTTTTAAAATTTCCTTTGACCCTTCAGGATTTTACAAGCAAGTTCTTGTTGTGTGATACAGGGGAACTCTTTATTTTTCAACTCATAGCTAGTGAACAACCATGGCTAATATTTCAGAATATAATAGAGTCTCTGAAACTGAACATTAAAACAAAAAGAAAGCAAACACATTGAGCATGGTTATTTTGAAAACTGTTACATAGTGTTCTGCCTTAATAATGGAAACTTTTTTTTTCTGTTCTGAGTTTTGTGACATTAGAAAGTTACTTAATTTCATTGTTCATGACTTTAAATTTCTGAAATGAAAGATGGTGATCTTTCCTAGTTTGAAAATTTAATATAAATGATTTTAGTACCTTGAGAGAAAATTGTCATATATTTAAATTATTATTTGTAGATTTTCTCACCTTAATTCATAGGAGAAAAAATTTGCAGGCTTCTCCTGCTTCTCACTGTTCCCCTGATTATTTTTTGCTGAAGTTTTGTAGTATACTCAGAGATAACACCTTTTTTTCAATAAATCTTAATGTCAAGGTTCATGTAATGGAAATGAAGGTAAATTACTACATGATAACTGAGTTGAGTATGAGAGGTACCATATACCTTACATGCTTACTACTTAAGGGTAACCCTTCTGATGCCTCCATAGTAATGTGAAACAGCCTCATCTGTGTGTGAAACATCCTCATCTTTGAAAATCTGTGGTTTGACTTGTTTGTTTGATGATAATCTCTCTTTTCTGAAGAGCGTGATCGATACTCTTTCACTTTAATTTGAATTTGAAGTTGACTGTGTCGAGGGAACTCCTGGTATCTGAATGCAGAATACCAGAGTTGACTATGTAAGGACTTTGTCTATAACTACATCTGTTTAATTGTTGCTTTGTACACCAGAGGGATAAATTAGGAGTGTTGTGTAGGTTTAAATGTGAGCTCTTCTTAAATTTCAAAATTAATATTAGTGTTCCGAAAACATTAGTATGTTGTATACTCATTCTTACATATTTTTCTTTCTTAATTTTGTTTTACTAGCCAATAATACAGTGGATTTTACAACAGTAAAATTTCTGCTACAAGATTCTAAAACTTTGTTACATGCTTTCAGTACAAGGTCAAATTATGATGGTATTCTTCCACAGGCCTTTGCTCAAGTAAACAAACTTCTCCAAACATTTGCAGAGGTAAGAGACTTTTGTAATGCCATTTAGAATAGCTAATTATATATGTTCTAAAAATGTATTTAGCAGACAACAGTAGGTAAAGGATAATTTTATTCTAACTTATTCTCACATACTAAAGGTATTAAGTAAATAATAAGTGAATTGAATGGAAAGTAAGCAAATCTTATCACAAGTTATAAAACACACATCCTTTTATGGAAGCATTTTTGCAGTAGTTGTTGGTATTTTATGTTGTTTCAGGTATGGGTAGAAGAAAGCTAGGCGTCGTTATTTGACTACTCCTTTCCAGCGCTCTAGGCCAGGGGATCTCATGTGCATCAAAAACACTTAGGAAATTTTTTTAAACATGAAGATGCCGAGACTCTTTCAAGCCTTACTAAATCCAAATTTTTGGCAGTGGTGCCCAGTAATGTTATTGTTCTTGTTTTACTTTTTATTTTGAAATAATGTCAAAGTTATGAAAAAGTTGTAAGAGTAGCACAAAGGATTCCTGTATATTTCCTTTATCCTGATTCCTCAAATGTTAACATTTTATCGCATTTGCTGTATTGTTTTCCTTATCTATTTAGCTGCCTAATTATCTGTCTACCTATATACCTATCCAGATTTTTTTCTTAGCTATTTGAGAGTATGTTGCCCCTTTTCCTCTGATTATTTCCATGTGTATTTCCTAAAAAATAAGGATATCTCATGTAACTGTCTTGTAATTAATCAGGAAATTAACATTGATATAATAGTTATCTGTGGATCGTATTCAAACTTCACCAATCAACCTATGAATTTTTTAACAAGTCTGCTTATATGATTCTTATGCAACTAACCTAAAACTAATGCCTGTTTAACCCCTGTTAAGCTTAACTATATGTAAATTTTTTCTCCAGTAATACTCTATTTCTACAGTTTTCTAATTTCAAATTTAGAAAAATCTGGGAGTTTTATGTACCGGAAACAGTTAAGAAAAACCCTCAATGTTACAGTTACTAGAGGAGGTATTAATGGAACTTACATTCAATATAGATTTCATAGTCTCTTTTTTCTCTGAGTAACTGAATTGGCCAGGTTTTTCTCATCGATTTTTCATGGTCAGATAGGCCCACTGCCTATGCAGGAATCAAAGGGTTAAATGATACTAATCTTAGTCATAGCTAGTGAGAAAAGAACTTACTTGCCAAGAAGAGTATATCTCATGGAGTAAAAGAAGCATCTCTTTTTTTTTTTAATAAACGGAAATATGTGATAATTCTTAAGGAAAGAATTGACTTAAGGGATAAAATGATCTTTTGGTTTGAGATGACCAAAACATTGGTAGTTTTATTTTCTTATGGCAAGTGTGATTTTTAGGACTACTAGTTGGAAAGACTTAACCTATGGATTTAGGGAGTTGCAGCTTGAATATCGTACTTCGATTGTGTTTGGAAAGATATGTTATCCTTCTTCATAACAGAATTGAGTCGTAAATCATATCTTTAGTGAAACAAATGCAGTGAACAAAATGGAAAATTCAGGATACTTAAAGGCTTAAAAGTCTTTGAATTAAGATTATTGAGAATAAAACAAAATTTAGGATTGATGAGGTAAAAACAATAATGTCAAGTTTTAACTCTTTTCATCAATTAGAAACCTAGAGATTGGAGGTACCATGAAAATGTGTTATTAAATAGTGTTATTTATCAGATGATGGTATGCCTAGTATGTATATGTTGCCCACTGCATATTTAAAACCATTGAATTGCTATTTAGTAATTTATTTATTCCTGGATCTTGAGTTTTTAGTTGCTATGTTAGCAAGAGTTTCATGAAGGTGAGTAGAAAAGAATCTAGCATCCTTGTAAGTCCAGTTCCTTCAACATTTGCTATTAGTGTGATTACTTGAAATGGCCTGTGTTGTTTCCAGGATTAGAGCTCCGAAGTGTTGTGCCTTTATTTTCATGTTAGAAACAATTCATTGTCTAAGTAAGCCAGGAGTGTCGTAATTTAGCTTAGTCCTTTATAATACACTTTTAACAGGAGTTGTTTTGTAGAATGCATTTGTTTTGATATATGTCTTAAATACTTAGTCATGTCTCAGTAACTTGAGCAACAATAGAGCACCTCTAAAGAGAGCATATCTCAATATAGTAACTGTCAAAAATCCACCTAATCTTAATTTATCAAGTGTAGAAAAATAGGAAACGAGAGCTATTCATTATTTGTTTTCTTCGGAAAGACTTCTGAGAAACTAAAATGGAAAAATAAACTGTTATCATTTTCTAGATTTTTATGTAAGTAGAGTGGAATTAGGAAAAGAATATATACCTTTTTTTTTTTTTTTTTTGAGACAGGGTCTCACTCTGTTGCCCAGGGTGGAGTGCAGTGGTGTCATCATAGCTCACTTGCTGCCCAGGGTGAAGTGTAATGATGTCATCATGGCTTACTGCATCCTTGAACTCTTGGGCTCAAGCAGTCTTCCTGTCTCAGTGTCCTGAGTAGCTGGGACTACAGGCATGTACCATCATGTCTGGCCAGTTTATTTTTATTTTATTATAGAGATGGGATCTCACTATGTTGCCAGGCTGGCCTTGAACTCCTGGCCTCAAGCAATTCTCCTGCCTCAGCCTTCCAAAGTGCTGAGATTACAGGCATGAACCACTGCATCCAGCCACATTTTTGTTTTATAAGCCTTCTGACCACCAAGAAAAGAGGACTTGCTCTCTACTAAAATGGTAGAATAATTAAGATCAGTCTTTTAAATAAGGTTTAGATTTACGTGCTTCAGGACCCTGACTTGTGATGTTTTTAACCTCTAATTATTTAGGCCTCAAAACCTTAATTCTTAAAAAAATAAATAAAAAAAAACCAAAACAACTTAATTCTCGGTTTTATAAAATGAGTATAATAATAATTCTAGCCTGAGAATTGTCAAGAGAATTAAACAAGTTAGTATTTGTAGAGACTTTAATACCTAGTGCATAGTAAGAGCAATATAAGTGTTTGATAAAGAAATCCATTTATATATTTATAGTATATACACTGGTATTTAAGAGCTGAAGAAAAAAGACATTAGGTAGGTGCTTGTCTTTATTTTAGTTGTATGTGGTAATTTAAAAAAAATTATCTCAGGATAAAATGTCTTTTCACTTATGTGTATTAAGTTCAGAATTTAATGTAAATAGGCAAAAATGGGAAGAATCATCTTTTTCTTTCTTCTTCTTGATAGAGAAAGATAATATTTCCTTTTATAGTTGAAGAGAGATCATAACCTCATTCGTAGTCAGATTGCCGAAGGTCGAATCTTTTTCCTGCCTTTCACCATCTGTGTGACCTTGGATGAGTTGCTCAACCTTTCTGTTCCTTAGTTTCCTCAGTATAAAATGTGGATCATTATAATATGTTTCATTAGGTAATATTTTGTTAGGATTACATGAGATAATAAGTATAAAATTCTTTAAAAGTACATAACATGATCAGTAAATATTAACTGTTATTACTGATAGTATTGGAAATTTCATTTTTTTAAAATTTAATAAACATGGTACTAGCAACCCATGAAGCTAGTCTTTGAAATAATCCTTTTATCAATAAGGGAATTTAAGCCTAGAGAAATGGAGTGATTTTATTTAAGTTCACAGAGAGCTAAGACCAAAAAACTAGTTTTTAAACTTATAGTTAACATTTTTTCCCCATTTTATTAGGTACTTTTTTAAAAACCTAAGTTAATATTTTTTCCCCAACGTGATACTTTTTAAAGATCAGTTGAATCAGTAGTACATATCTTTTACTCTGCTTTAAACTATACTTAGAACTCTTCTATTCTTAAATATAGTACTTTTCATTGACCATGCTATTTACTGCAGTCTTCTTCCGTCAACTACCAAACTCCTTAAAAAAGCAATCAATAACCTTTGTTATATTTTTTTCACTCACTTATTTCTTGATCCTTTACAAGTAGAATTCTCTTTGTATAACTAAAAGAAACTATGGGTTGTCATTTGCTTTCTAATTATCAAGTTCACCCTTTTCTCTTTCTTCCACTTTCTTAGTCTTTCTTCAGCACTTGGTGTTGTCTATCCTTTTTCCTGAAACCTGTCTCCCTTGGCTTCTGTTGGTATTGTATACTTTTGATTCTTCACATATCTTATTTTTGCTGAGTCTGACCTTTCCTCCTTCAATTTGTCCACCCTTTATCTTTTTTTTTTTTTTTTTTTTTTTTTGCTGTTCTCCTCCAACAATCTCATCTACTTCTAAGGCTTGTCTTCGTGAGAATGACTCAACTGTATTTTTTAAGCTGCAGACCTTCTTATCCAATTACCTGCTAGATATCTTTATCCCGGGATCTTTTTATACCTCAAAGTCAATATATACCTAAAAAACAAATTTGTGTTCTATTCCTCCTCTTTTTCTTATTTGCAAGCAGCCTTTTTCTCTTGGTTTTATAGCAGGAGGCCATAAAGTTTGGAAACATAGACAAATGTACATTAAATAGTTTGTTGATATTACATTATAATATGTGATATAGTCAGTATATTGTCCCTCATCAGCAATGCATAGTTTAATGTGCTATTTAAAATGTGGCATATTCAGTAGCATTTCTATCACCTCCTGCATATGCATCTGAGATTTGTTGTTTCTAAATACGTATATGTTTGACTTTTAGTAAATAAAACCATATCTGTACATTCCTCTGGAGAAGTCATCAAGAAGGTTCAATCTGTTTAAAACATACACACACACATTTCTGATTTATGGCCACTGTAAGAGTCTATTATTTGTGTCATTATTCTTCTAGGCATCTAGATTTTAAAAAATCTTAGTGTTTACCTCACTCTGTGAATCTAGTTTTTGGCCAAGTCTTTTTTGCATTTTTTTTCCTTTTTATTCTACTGCCTTTTTGTACCTAATTCAAGTTCTCAGGACTCTTTTTCTGGATTATGTCAGTAGCCTTCTAAATGATCTGATTTTCTTGCCTCCACTTTTTCTTCTATTCAGTTTTGTCATAAGAATGCAATTCTGAGTATATCTGCCAAAATTAGAAACTTTCAATAGTTCACTGTTGCCCATAATATAAAGTTTAAATTCTGTCTTGATTTTTTTAAACAGCACTTTCTAGCCCTTTATACATATATATACATATATATTTATATATATTTATATTTATATATATTTATATGTATATATATATATTTTTACTGGATCGTAAGGTGCTTCGAGGCTTGACTACACCTATTTGTCTTTGTCTTCTAGGTGTTGTTATCTAGTTCAATACTGTATCTGTAGAAGTGTTCAAACAGCATTATTAGTTTGACATTATCATGTTAGTCAAGAAAAGTTACTAAAATAAATAGATTGGAGATACTGTTTGATTTAGATGGAAAAGGAAAATGTCTTTACTAGCTCTGATGCTTTTCTGGGAACATTCTGTACATAATAAGAGAAAAAGAGTAGCTTGCACTTCCTAAAAACCTAGAACATTTGTAAGCACAATTGGCATTCTGTTTTTCTCATTTACTAATGAAGAACTAGCTGTATTTTATGTAATCTTATTTCCTCAGGTCAAGACAAAACTTAAGCCAAATTCTTCTGAAAACACAGTGAATAAAAAGCAGGAAGATACTTCTTCAGTGAAGTCTCATAACCAAGAAATCACTGTTTTCTCGGGTTCTCATCTTCCCCAACCCAACAGACATCAAGAAATCTGGTCTATCCTAGAGAATGTTTGGATTATAATATATCAGAACAGGTATTAATGTTTTTTTAAATTGACATTATAATTGTACATATTTAGGGGTACAGTTTGACATTTTGATATATATACATGTTGTAAAATGATCAAATCAGGGTAGTTAGTGTATCCATCATCTCATGCATTTATCATTTCTTTGTGGTGAGCACATTGAAAAGTCTCTCTTCCAGCCATTTTGTAATGTGCGATACTTTACTGTTAACCATAGTCACCTTGCTAAAACACCAGAACTTATTTACAATTAAGATTGTACCTTTGTGCTTATTGACCAACTTCTTTCCATTTTTCCCTCCCCCATTCCCTTCTCAGTCTCTGGTAACCGGTGTTCTATTCTCAGCTTCTATGAGATCAAGTGTTGTTTTTTTTTTTTAAGATTCCACATGAATGAGATTATGCAGTATTATGGTATTTGTGTGTTTGGTTTATTTCACTTAAAATGTCCGTTAGGGTCATCCATCTTGTCAAAAATGACAGGATTTCATTTGTTTTTTATGGCTGAAAAGTATTCCATTTTATGTATATTACCTTTTCTTTATCCATTCATCTGTTGATGGACACTTAGATTGATTTCATATCTTGGCTATTGTAAATAATGCTATAATAAACACTGGAGTGTAGGTATCTCTTTGACATACTGATTTCATTTCCTTTGGATATGTACCCCATAGTGGGTTTGCTAGATCATATGGTAGTTCTATTTTTAATTTTTTGAGGAACCTCCACTGTTTACTATAATAGCTGTATTAATTCACAATCCTGCCAACAGTGTGTAAGCGTACCCTTTTCTCTATATCCTTGCCAACACTTGTTTTCTTTTGTCTTTTTGATAGTAGCCATTCTAAATGGAGTGAAGTGGTATCTCATTGTGGTTTTGATTTTCATTTTGTCATATATTTGTTGGCCATTTTTATTTCTTCTTTTGAAAATCTTTATTTTTTAAGTTCTTTTGCTCATTCTTAATCAGGTTATTTGTTGTTTTTGCTGTTAAGTTCCTTATATATTCTGAATATTGACCCCCTGTCAAATGTTTAGTTTGCAGATATTTTCTCCCATTTCGTACATTGTCTTTTCATTCTTAATTGCTGCTTTTGCTGTGCAAAGCCTTTTTAGTTTTAGTTTGATTTAATCCCATTTTTCTATTTTTAGTTTTGTTGCCTATGATTTAGAGGTCTTATTAAAACAATTTTGTCCAGCCCGTTGCCATGTGTTGTTTCCCCTATATTTTTTTCTAGTAGTGTCATAGTTTCAAGTTTTACATTGAAGTCTTTAATCCATTTTGAGTTGACTTGTTTGGTATATGGTTGGAGATATGGGTCTAGTGCCATTCTTCTGCATGTGGATTTTCCTAGCTTCACTAGGAAATTTTCCTAGCTAGCCAATTTTCCTAGCTTCACTTATTGAAGAGATTGTCTTTTTCCCAATGTATGTTCTTGGCACTTTTGTCAAAAATCAATTGACTATGGGTGTGTTAATTTCTTTCTGGGCTCCCCATTCTGTTCCATTGGTCTATGTGTCTATTTTATGTCAGTACCCCATACTGTTTTGTTTGCTAAATCTTTGTAGTATATTTTGATATGTGATGCCTCCAGCTTTGTTCCTTTTTGCTCAGAAGTACTTTGGCTGTTGGGATCTTTTGGTTCCATATGAATTTTTGGATTTTTTTCCTATATTTGTGAAGAATGTCATTGGTATTTTGATAGAGATTGCATTAAATTTGTAGATCACTTTGCATAGTATGATCATTTTTTTTTTTTTGATCATTTTAACAATATTAATTCTTCCAGTCTATAAACATGGGATTTCTTTCCATATATTGTGTCCTCTTCAGTTTTTTTCATTACTGTTTTCTTTTTCTTTTTTTTTTTTTTTTTGAGACAGAGTCTCACTTTGTTGCCCAGGCTAGAGTGAGTGCCGTGGCATCAGCCTAGCTCACAGCAACCTCAAACTCCTGGGCTCAAGCAATCCTACTGCCTCAGCCTCCCGAGTAGCTGGGACTACAGGCATGTGCCACCATGCCCGGCTAATTTTTTACATATATAAATCAGTTGGCCAATTAATTTCTTTCTATTTTATAGTAGAGACGAGGTCTTGCTCAGGCTGGTTTTGAACTCCTGACCTTGAGCAATCCGCCCGCCTCAGCCTCCCAGAGAGCTAGGATTACAGGCGTGAGCCACCACGCCCGGCCATTACTGTTTTATAGGTTTCAGTATAAAGATCTTTCATCTCCTTGGCTAAGTTTATTCCTAGGTATCTTACTTTTTGTGTAGCTATTGTAAATGGAATTGCTTTCTTTATTTCTCTTTCAGTTAGTTTGTTATTGGCATATAGAAATTCTACTGATTTTTGTATGTTGATTTTGCATCCTGCAACTTTATTGAATTTATTGGTTCTAAAAGATTTTTGGTGGAGTTTTAGGGTTTTCTATATATAAAATCATACTGTCTGCAAACAGGGACAATTTGACTTCCTTCTTTCCAATTTGGATTTCTTTTGTTTCTTTTTCTTTACTAATTGCTCTGGCTAGAACTTCCAGTACTATGTGGAATAGAATTGGTGAAAGTGGTCATCCTTGTCTTGTTCTTGATCTTAGAGGAAAAGCTTTCAGCATTTCCCCTTTCAGTATGATGTTAGTTGTGGGTTTGTCATATATTGCCTTTATTGTGTTGAGACACATACCTTCTATACCTAATTTGTTGAGAGTTTTTATCACAAAGGGATGTTGAATTTTGTTTTTGCTTTTTCAGCATCTATTGTAATGATTATGGTTTTTGTCTTTCTTTCTGTTGATGTGGTGTATCACATTTATTGATTTGTGGTAAGTTGAGCCATCCTGTATCCCTGGGTTGAATCCCACTTGATCATAGAGAATGATGTTTGAATTCAGTTTGTTAGTATCTTGTTGAGAATTTTTGCACTTTCATTTATCAGGGATATTGGCTGTGGTTTTTTGTTGTTGTGTCTTTGTTTAGTTTTGGAATCAGGATAATGCTGGCCTCATAAAATGAGTTTGAAAGTATTCCCTCCTCTTAAGTTTTCTGGAATAATTTGAGGAGAATTGGTATTAGTTCTTTAAATGTTTGGTAGAATTCAGCAATGAAGCCATCAGATCTTGAGCTTTCTTTGATGGTAGAGTCTCTACTTACTATTGCTTCAGTCTTGTTACTTGTTATTGGTCTTTTTTAGGCTTTCTAATTTTTTTTATGTGTCTAGGAATTTATTTCTTCTTTGTTATTAGATTTGCTGGTGAATAGTTGTTCATAGTAGTCTCTATGGCCCTTTGTATTTCTGTGGTATCAGTTGTAATGACTACTTTTTCATCTCTGATTTTATTTGAATCTTCTCTTTACATAGTCTAGATAAAGGTTTGTCTTTTTTTTAGGGTTTTCCATTATAGTTTTATGCCACATAATGATGTTTCAGTCAACAATGGACTCACATATACGACAGTGATCTCATAAGATTAAATATCATATTTTTGCTGTACCTGTTCTGTATTTAGATATATTTAGATACACAGATGCTTAGCATTATGTTACAGTTGCCTACAGTGTTTAGTATATAGTACCATGCTGTACTGGTTTGTAGCCTAGGGGCATTAGGCTATACAGTATAGCTTAGGTGTGTAGTAGGTACCATCTAGGTTTGTGTAAGTACACACTATGATGTTCACACAATGACAGAATTGCCTAACTGCATTTCTCAGAATGTATCCTTGTCATTAAGTGATATAGGACTCTATTACTGTTACTCATTGAATAGTTAGTGTTTGGGTTACTGATGTACTAGATTGTCTGCTGGGTGCAGTGGTTCATGGCTGTAATCCCAGCACTTTGGGAGATGGAGGCGAGAGGAACTTTACTTTTAATAGTGAACAAAGAACGATTGAAGTATACTGTAAATAGTGCAATCATTTCTTATTTCTGACTTCACAGATTTAATTATCAGAATAGCCATGGTGTTTATAGGATCTTTGTATATACTTTTCATCCCTATTATGACTGTTTTATAGCCATATTTTATGTATTTGCTGTAAGTTGTGGAATCCAGGGTAAACCAGCTTACCAGTCCATGAAGATTGCTTTCAGCCAATTCCTAAGTGAACTAGCATGTAGGCCATCCATTATACTTTTTTTAAATTTAGCCCAGATGATTTTGAACACATGTATAATTAAGTATAGACATATAGATGTATAGATAGGTAATAAGTTTATACAAAGAGGTGTGTGTTTCAAACTTACTGCACTAGAACTAAAATCAAAAGCATTTAATTTTAAGAAATGCCAGAGCAGATTCTCAAAGATAAGAGCAACTGCAGGTACATTTGAATCAAATATTCATTCTTTCATTTCATTCATCTATTGATCCAACATATACTGATCATCTGCTATGTGCCAGGCACAATCTAGGTACTGAGAACATAAATATCAGTGAGAAACATTGGCAGAAATATTTATCTGCATTCTAATGGTAAGAGTTGGGCAAATAAAATATAAACAGGCTATTAAAAAGTCTGAAAACCCAGGGTACATATCTTTATATTGTATGTTAGTTACTTTTAAAAAGTAACATGTTCAGTATATTTTTCTTCAACCTTAAGACACATTTTCAAGTGAAGTACTTCTAAATTTTAGTCATGCATCTAATAATTAATATATTACAGAGTATCTAAAAATACTAGAATCAAGGGAAAATGGTTTATTGTATTTTTTTTATATTTTCAGGCACGTTGTAGTAGGTCTCATATGGTCATGAAGTTTTAAGAGGAAAGAAAAGATAAGATGAATATTAGGTTGGTGCAAAAGTAATTGCAGTTTTGGACCATGAATTTTAAATCATTATAACTAGGCTCAAACACATCTTTATTAATCAAAATAGGAACCATTACAATCATTTTTGCCAACAAGAAATAAGTTTGTTTATTCCTGTAGTGTAAAAATCCGTGCTTCGGGATTCAACGAACTCTTGGAAAACATTTTCTGCATCCTGCTGGTTGTAGAAATGTTTTCCCTGCAAAAAGTTGTCCAGTGGTAGTTGGTTGGCAAGAGGTCAGGTGAATATGGCCTCATTTTAAAAAATTATATTTGTGCTGAGTTCTGGAGAAGGTGAGAATGTGAGCTGTGTAGATATTTACAGGAAAGACATTCCAGGCAGAGGAACCGAATTTTAAAGACTTTGAAGACTTCGAAGGAATATGTCTAGTAATTTCAGCAAACTGAAGGGAGGCCAGTGTGGCTAGAACAAGAGGCAAAGTAGGAGGAGATAAAGTGGGGAGGGTAAGTGTGTTGACGGTATCAGGCCTTGTTGGCCATTGTAAGAATTTAGGGATTTTACTGTTAATAAAAGGTATGGCACAATTTTAAGCAAAGAAATGACAAGGTTTATATTTTTAAAAGATTGCTCTGCCATATTGAAAATAGACTGAAGTCGTGAGGGTGAGGTCGGAAGTGCAGTTAGGTGTCTTCTGTGATAATCCAAGTGGAAGATGATGATGACTAACTGTGGTAGAGTTGGTAACTGTGGTAGAGATGGTCAAATGCTGGGCATATTTTAAAAGCAGAGCCAACAGGATTTGCTGATACTATCTGAAGTGACAGGACTAAAATAATAGTACTTATAGCAAGAGATTGTTCCTGCCAATCCTATGACTGCTATGGCCATTCTCATCTTCATCTCTTTCACATTTCTCCTACATTCTGTCATTTAGGATAAATCCTGGAGGAATTTTAGTGCCCTCGTCCTTTTACGTAAATTGTTATAATTCTATATAAAAACTGTAATGAAGGTATTTGGAATAATAGTATCTAGTATGTAGCTTTTGATTTACTGTTAGCTTTCCTGGAAGATATTTTCTGTTTTCTCTCTCAATCTTTTCGTTCCCCTACAATTTACATTTATACCCAGAAAAAGATGAAGAAAGAACTCATGAATATTAATAATGTTTATTTCTGGATGGTGTGCTATTGATATTACATATTCTCTTCTTACTTTCCTATATTTTTCAAATTTTCTATGATGAATAGGCTTTAAATGTAGAAAAATCTTAAAAAGTTAAATATTTTTTAAATAAAATAAGTTCATGGTTTTTATTTTAAAAACAGGCTGGGCACGGTGGCTCATGCCTGTAATCCTAACACTCGGAGATCGAGGCGGGCAGATCACTCAAGGTCAGGAGTTCAGATCCAGCCTGAGCAAGAGTGAGACCCTGTCTGTATTAAAAATAAAAAGAAATTATCTGGACAACTAAAACTATATATATAAAAAATTAGCTGGGCATGGTGGCACATGCCTATAGTCCCAGCTATTGGGGAGGCTGAGGCAGTAGGATCACTTGAGCCCAGGAGTTTGAGGTTTCTGTGACCTAGGCTGTTGCCATGGCACTCTGGCCTGGGCAACGGAGTGAGACTGTCTCAAAAATAAAATAAAATAAATAAATCAATGAATGAAATAAAAATAAATTTACACACAAATATTCAGATTAGGCAAATTCATAGAGGCAGAAAACAGATTAGTGGTTGAAGGGGTTTGGTAGGGGGGCGTGGGGGAGGATAGAGAGTAACCATTTAATGGATTTAGGATTTTCTTTTGGCATGATGAAAATGATCTGTAACTAGATCGTGGTGATGGTTATATAACATTATGAATGTACTAAATGCCACTGAATTATACTCTTTAAAATGAGCAAAATGGTGAATTTTATGTTATGTGTATTTTACCACAATCATAAAAATAATACTTTGGAAAACAATGTAGAGGATAAAATTCCCTTGAGTGCTACTAACTAAGCAGAGTTAACGTTAATATTATTTAGTACACCTAGCTTTGTTTTTAGGCACCTGTATTAGTTTCCTAGGACTGCCATAACAAATTACCATAAACTTGGTGTCTTGAAATAGAATTTATTTGCTTACAGTTCTGGAGGCCAAACATCTGAAATCCATGTGTCTGCAGGCTTGCTTATTCTGGGTCTTCTAAGAGAGAATCTGTTCCCTGCCTTTCTCCTTTCTTCTGGAGGTTGCCAGCAATCCTGGCCTTTGTACATGTACCACTTCAATCTCTGCATTTGTCTTCACATAGAGTAGGGCCGGCTCTAATCCCGTGTGACTTCATTTGAACTTAACTGATTACATCTGCAAAAACTATTTAAAATAAGATCGCATCCTGAGATTCTGGATAAACACAAATTTTGGGTGGAAACTATTCAACCCCCTTACAGTATTTTTTTATTTTTATATGGTTGTTATTATGTTATATAAGTAAATTTTTTATACCTTTATTTTTCTGTTCCATAGATGGTATAAGTATCATTTTAATAGTTTGGTATTTCGTCAAGTGGCTAATTTACTATTTACTTAACACTTCTTATATTGTTGGCATTTGGGGTGGTACTAATTGTTGCTCGATTGTGAATAACTGTTATTCATTTATAATAGATTTCTAGAAGTGGAATTATTATGATAAACTTCCAGTTTCAACAGACACTTAATCTGATATCTAATTTTTGCCTTATCCTTACCTTCTTGAGTACTGACTTGAATGTAGATTCATAGTATTACTTCCCCTCTATCTCTTACAGTCTTTTAGAATGAAACATTATTCACATAGCTTTTACAGTGATTCTTTAGATTAGACCTGTATAGTGTCTGACCTAGATCCTTTGCATGAAAGTTAGTCTAGACTTTCACATATCACTATCTTTTTTTTTTTTTTTTTTTTTGAGACAGTCTCGCTTTGTTGCCCAGGCTAGAGTGAGCGCCGTGGCATCAGCCTAGCTCACAGCAACCTCAATCTCCTGGGCTCAAGCAATCCTCCTGCCTCAGCCTCCCAAGTAGCTGAGACTACAGGCATGCGCCACCATGCCCGGCTAATTTTTTGTATATATATTTTTAGTTGGTCAATTAATTTCTTTCTATTTTTAGTAGGGACGGGATCTCGCTCAGGCTGGTTTCGCAGTCACTATCTTGAGCAATCCGCCCGCCTTGGCCTCCCAGAGTGCTAGGATTACAGGCGTGAGCCACCGCGCCGGGCCTATCACTATCTTTTATTTCTAATGTAAATAGATCAGCACTATTATAGATGATTTATAATAAATGTTACTTTATTTTATACATTGGCAATGGAAGTACTTGAATTACATTAATAATACATGTGTACCTATGAATATCTTTTCTTTTTCACTATTTTAGCATGGATGTGTTTCAAAGATTGGGCTCAAATTCAGCTCTGACTACTTCAAAAATAGCTTCATTTGAAGAAGCATTTATTTATCTTCAAAAGTTAATGGCAGCTGTGAAGGATATTCTTGAAGGAATTCAGAGGTAAATACTATTAATTTTAAAGTTTCATATATTTGTTACTTCTCTCTTTCTTCTAGGTTTATAAGCTTTTTCAGAGTTGCTGGGAGTCTTCCAGCCAGTTTTATAAATTAGTAACTTTTAGATTCAACTCTTTTTCCCTCCTCTGCAAAGAATCCTTATTTCTAGTTTAGACCACAAGAATGTTTCCACCTTTCACCTTTCTACAAAAAACCCACCAGATTGTAATCTTCATGAAGAACTTGATTTTCTTTATTGTGTAACTATAGCTCGCAGAACAGCACCTGGCACATAATGGGTACTCAGTAATTACTCCACCACTTCGGTACGAGCATCGACTGTAGCCGACAGCCGTGATATGACTTTTCTAAATTTTCATTTATCAAAATAAAATTGTGAACATTTAAAAATAACGTAATGAAAACATATGTATACGTTACCTATTCCGACTTATGTTACAAGTAAAGCTGCCTGTAAAGTAAAATAAGCTTTCAGTGCTTTCAAGCTTTCCTCATCACACAAGAGCAAAACGGACTCGTAGTCAATGCACAGCACAAACTACCGTGCGGACCATTAGTGCCAGCTGTGGGCAAGGTTTCGTGGTTGGTGAGTGCCGTACCGAAGTGGTTAAGGAATAAATATATGTTAAGGTATTACCCTTTTAAAATGAATATATATTAATACATTTTTCCACATGATTTGTTTCCTCCAAACAATTTCACAAAATTACAAACTGAAATAAGTTTGAGAAGCAGCATAGTCTTATGATGCTTCAAGATTTATACTATATGTGATTATAATATTTTAAATATTTATGATGCATATACAAAATATAGTGCCAGAAAGCCATAGAATTGACCATAGCACCTTATAGCATGAAATGAAATGCTTTCTTTGTGGCACTAAAGGAAGATAATTCTAAATTTTGCAGTTGTATTGGTATATACCAAAATTGTTTGACCTGAATTAGATACACAATTTGCTAATAGAAAAATACTATTCTTTACAAATTAAAAAAACGAAAACAAAACAATTGATTTTGCTATGTCCAAGTTTGAGAAACTTGGATTTTTCAAAACATATATTTTTTTCCTTAATAGTTTTTGGAAACTTCATCTCATTGTTAATAGAAAAGGCATTTTTTACCTCTTTTTAGATCAGACTTGGCCTAAATTACTCTTAAATAAAAAATTTTCAAAGGCTTTTGCCATCCTTAAATTATTAATTAATTAAAAATATGGCAAATCCTAAGGTAAGTTAAATGTTACCTCTAAGTGCAAATAGTCCCTTTATAACTTAAAAAAATATTAAGTAAGAGTAGCCCTATGAGGGTGAAATACTCAGTTCTGGTTTTAGCTATATAAAATAAACTGTTGCTCATTCTAGATTGCATAAAAGTCATGCTTTACAATACCTTCTCTACAGAAAGTAAGGATATAAATCTGTATTCACTCAACAAATGTTAATTGAGCACCAGTTATGCTTGTATCATACTAGGCACTGGAGAACCAAAGATAAATAAGATGTAACCTCTGACTCCAAACAACTTGTAGTCACGTTAAAACAGATCATTGCAACCAAAAAGTATTAGTGTTTTAATAGGGATATGTATGCAATGGAGGGAGGAAGGATCTGGCAAAAGATGAGCTGGAGAAGAGTGTCTCAGGGCATGCACCAGTTTCCACTTCCATCTTGTGGCTAGTATTTCACACATTTGGAGCCTTTAATTATGACTTGACTAAAGTGTTTCTGGTTCACAAAGCTTTGGAGATATTTGCATACTATACTACCTTCTTGGGAAATCACTGTATATCTACTAGCATATTAATGGCTCTCTGCTGTAGAGAAACCTTTTTAATTTTAGGAGCTTTAAAAAATATTGATGCCTGCAGGTCCATCCCAAAGATTGTGATGTAAGTGGTCCAGGGTGTGGCTGGCTGTCAAGAATTTTTTTTTTTTTTTTTTTTTGAGACAGAGTCTCGCTTTGTTGTCCAGGCCAGAGTGAGTGCCATGGCGTCAGCCTAGCTCACAGCAACCTCAAACTCCTGGGCTCGAGCAATCCTTCTGCCTCAGCCTCCCGAGTAGCTGGGGCTACAGGCATGCACCACCATGCCCGGCTAATTTTTTATATATATATCAGTTGGCCAATTAATTTCTTTCTATTTATAGTAGAGACGGGGTCTCGCTCTTGCTCAGGCTGGTTTTGAACTCCTGACCTTGAGCAATCCGCCCGCCTCGGCCTCCCAAGAGCTAGGATTACAGGCGTGAGCCACCGCGCCCGGCCTGGCTGTCAAGAATTTAAAATTTTCTGTAGGTGATTCTAATGTGTAGACAGGGTTGAGAACCACTAGCCAATGTAGCCACTACATACTAGCTTATGTAGTGGTTCTCAAGGTGTAGTCAGAAGACCAGCATCATCACCAGCCTGAACCTGTTAAAAGTACAGATTCTCAGGCCCTCTCACATTTATTCAGTTAGAAACTCTGGGCATGAGGCCCAGTAGTCTTTGTCTTCTAGGTGATTCTGGCATATTAAAGGCTGAACATCACTGACCTAAGTGGTTCTTAGCCCTGGTGGGGTTTATAGTATAATCATCTGGGAGTTAAAAAAAAAAAAAATATTTGGGCTTGGGCATAGGCATTTCTACAGACTCTCTAAGCGAGGGTTGAGAAGTTATAGCATATATTGCTTACGTAAGCTGTTTCTAAAAGAAATGATTACTTGAATTTTAAGGGTAAAAAATTTTATTATTCTTTCTTCTTAAGGTTACATAACCCTAGGAATAAGAAAACATTGGTGGTTCTGCTACCTTTTGCATGTGACCTGAGGCAAATTATTAAAGCTATTTTTGAGCCTCAGTCATCATTTATAAAGCAGGCATAATAATACCTTCCCATCATTTCACAGGGTTATCATGCTTTGAAAGTAAGCTGTTGGTATTACTATTAATAACCAAGCCAGTGATTCTCAACTTGTTTGTTGGGGAATTTAAAAATATAAAGTTTAAGGTCTTAACCCAGGCTAACCGAATTGAAAATATCTGTAGATATTGTGCAAAGTAGGGAAGTTGTATTTTAACAAGACTTCCTGAGAATTTGTATGCAGATGGTGGGGGATCACACTTAACTAATATAATCTGTCATGTTACATTAGAAAGGTTTTCTCTTGAGCTACCAGTAGAGGGTGGTGTGAGTAAAAAACGTTTGCTCATCTAACCATTAATCAACAGGAAACTACAAAATTGCAAAGTTTTTTTAACCCTTCCGACAGTAGGCATTTAAATAAAAATGTAATAGAAGTTAATAATTACATTTTTTCAAATGTACAGGTGGTCCTTAAAATCTTTCAGGAAACAGAGTCATGTTAAATTCCAAATTAGCTTAGTTTAAGAAATTTATTTTGGTTAAATATAGATTTAAAATTTTTTAAATTTTAAATATTTTAAATATAGATTTAAAATTTTTTTTTTTTTTTTTTTGAGACAGAGTCTCGCTTTGTTGCCCAGGCTAGAGTGAGTGCCGTGGCGTCAGCCTAGTTCACAGCAACCTCAAACTCCTGGGCTTGAGTGATCCTTCTGCCTCAGCCTCCCAGGTAGCTGGGACTACAGGCATGCGCCACCATGCCCGGCTAATTTTATATATATATATATATATCAGTTGGCCAATTAATTTCTTTCTATTTATAGTAGAGACGGGGTCTCGCTCTTGCTCAGGCTGGTTTTGAACTCCTGACCTTGAGCAATCCGCCCGCCTCGGCCTCCCAAGAGCTAGGATTACAGGCGTGAGCCACAGCGCCCGGCCTAGATTTAAAATTTTTTACAGGCATGAGCTATATATTGTATCTGGCTGATTCCTATACACTTTCTTTTTGGGTAGGAAAGGAAATTTAGTTAGCTTATTTACTATTGGTTTAGAAATTGCTTCTTTGCTTCTCATCTTTCATTTTATGTGTATATAGGATTAATTTGAACACTTTTGTTAATGGTTTCCTTAACACTGGAGCAATGTAAACACTTGTTTTCTTTCCAGATAAAGTGTTTTAAGATTTATTTTTAGGTCAGTACTATCTAGTCTCAATTTATACTTTATCAACTTATATCTAGATTGATCAAGTAACTCTTAAGACCACAAAACCTGTTGCTTTGTATATAAAGATGATGAAGTTTTAATGGAGCAAAAAATTGATTGAAGAGTTGAATTGCAAATTCTGAAAATAAAGTTCTGCTACTTGTACACTCATCAAAAAACATTAGTGAATGTCTGCATGTGTCTTGTGCTTAAACTGGCATCTCCAGAGTTAACTAAATAGGTCATGTAATCTAACTCTGAGGCACACTATAAATGTGTGCATTTACAACTTGAAAACTCAAAGCAACAATAAAAGTGTTTTAGGTATTTTTTTTGGTCTATGAAATAGATGATGAACTTTGTGGTTTAGAAGCTGAAGAGAGAAGAGAGGAGGGTAGAGGTGGGAAATTGTAACCTGCCAAGGTTTTATAATATGTTTGTAAAATAAAATAAGGTTGAAATTATTTAAAAAAAAACCAAAAATATTGTAACATTTTGAATGCAAAAATATAACTAGATCATGCCCCCAAGTATGTTTGGTTTAATATGTAAAACTTCACATTTCTGTATCAATTTCATGAATGCTTAGATTTCTAGTTCAAGTAGCTTTAGATAACGTAAGATGATGAATGTTTTCTTAGTTTCATATTTTGAATCATATATGGGGTGGGGAAGAAGGAGAGGGAGTTACTATTATAAATAACTTGGCACATTTTGAGGGGATGCTTTTATATTAAAAGATATCTCAAGTTTAGATAGCTTTTGTTTTCTAGCTGCCATTTTATTTGGTTGTATTTAAATGTAGCAGTGAGTAAGTGCATTTGGACATGATCATATGCTACCTGGGCACTCATGCCTGATCATATAATATGCTTTTTGGAAAATGAAACCTCTTTTTGGATTCAGGAAAGGAAGATGATTAATTTTTATTGCATT